TGATGGTCCCGGGTCGCGACAAGCACAGGATCCGCATCCAAACATATGAGCCTCAGTTGGGGATCCAGACCGACAGTTACAGCTGCGGCATATATGTGCTGCTAGCGCTCGAGGTATTCGCTGGGGCGGACACACCGGGTTGTCTCGACAAGAAGAGTATTCAGTACCTGCGCTACAGGTACATGACAATGTGTGTCTAGCTTGTCTAGCTAACTTTTAATGCATACTGCTCTTCTAGTTCTAAGTGCTCGTTAATATTGTTATAATAGCTATGAATGAAAGTGTTTGTTTAACTCCAAGTGTTTCCAGCTATGCATTCCGCAGCTGACGATGTGTCTGCATAACACATCGTGTCAGGCGGGCTGCACATTGTCAGATTCGTATGAGTACAAAGGTTTATTTGAGTACATGGGTGTGGCGTTGAGAGGGAAGTTGTACCTCAAACTCATCCAGTGTGTCACTTTGTGTGTCAGACGCAAAATAAATTCTTGCGGCTATACGTCATTCGCGCATACTTTGGTCACTACCTCTCGTCGAAACGGGCACAACATGGTCATCAAATGGGCCGTCATGCGCTGATATGGGGTGACATGGTGTGACATGGGCTCGGATGGGCAATGTGCCTCGTCACATTTTCTCTCAGACGGGCTCCCTATCACGTGCCTTTGAGATGTCAGAGACACGCACAGTCCTCGGCTGGTTTGGTCGGATGTCCGAGAAAAGACACTACTACAAGACTTGTTGTAGTACAAGTCCAAATAGTTACCCATGGGCCCAGCTTTCCCAAGAACAATGCGCGAGCGCAGCTTTCCATGCTATGGGAAAAAGTTCGGCGCAAGTTGAACAAGAAGCGCCATCTTACAGCAACTACCAACCAAGTAAAAAAAAATATCAAGCCTTGAAGGCGCAGTTTGCAGATATTTGAGCGGATGAGGTGTCTACCGGAAACAAAGAGAAGGCTATCGCGGACCCTTCTTACTGTCAAAATACGAAAAACACCGAAAGTGAAGTCGTGCGCCACCCAACGATGTACAATGCCACTAAGATGGGCGTGGACATGGACGCCGCGGCGCACACGCAGAGCGCTGGCTGACAGGGCGACAGGGTTAGGTGTCGAGGTCGGGGAGGTCGCTCCGGCTCCACAAAAGATTTGGCACCAGGCTGCGCTGCACCAGGAGGGGACATTGTGCGGGACGCTGCTCGACACGACGGCGCCACGGAGGGTTTGTTGCGCGGGGCAGCCTGCTCGGTGAAGCAACCGAGCAATGCAGGGGAAGTGTGCGGGATATGGCGCGTCGTGGTGAAGCAGCAGTGAGGAAATTGCGCGAGGCGAGCTGGTGCATGCGCTGCTACCTGGTGCCAGGACGGATGGGGGGAGACCAGCACGATGCGAAGGCAAGAATCAACAGGAACGGTAGGAGCATTTAGGAAAGGTAAAGAGTCTCTCGTTCTATTTGTTTACTTGAGATTCCTGACATTATTCTCTGTGCAATGCTGTGCTGTTGCCAATAGGCCTTCCTGCTAGTTGACGCTCGCTTTGAGCACGCAGAGCCTTGTTCGAGCCACGATAGGCTAGCTTCTTGCGCTTTGATAGATCCAGCAAACCACGCACATGCATTGCGAACACAGGGTGTGTGCACACACCGAACTACAGGTAATATTCGCAAGGACAATGGCGGCACAGCACGTTGACCCGCCAGCCTTCACCTGGCATGCCGCGCACTTCAGCACGTGCTGCCTGGACGCTGAGACGGGACGTGACAGGTAATGACTCGCTAGTGCGTCGTGCTTGCGGGTCGTACACTCGGTCGCAAAGCTCTGAGGCCACGTACACATGGTCTTCTTCACAAGGTGCGTTATTCAACAAGAAAGACACACGGGATCGACCTGATACAAGCTCACGTATCTTGTGTGCTCGCTCAAGGTCACATGCACGTCGTACGAGGACAGGTGAGGGGGTGACTTCCAAAGCGAATGCTTTCTCCTTCAAACTCTCAGTGCGGCAGCACTGCAGCAGCTGCTCTATCAGCGCACCCATCTTGAGGCGTGAGTGCAGTGTATAGTCTCTCTTCAAGGCCCGGTTGTACTGCTCGACGGGATTATTAGTCGTGGCGAAGCCTGGTTGGGTGTGGAACACTTGCCAGCGATGAAACCTGCTGTCCAGCCACTGCTTCTTGAAGTAAGCAGTAAACGCCGTGAGCCTGGTGTCTCCCTCTCAGTCGGACAAAAGATTCGTCTTCTTCTCAGTATACGCGCCCGCAGTAGCAGTAAAGTGCAGGTCAGCGATGTCGCGCATTACACGGGCAGCAAGCAAAGGCTCAAGTGCACGAGTCTTTTCGTGAACCTTTGCCAGCACGTGGAAGTAACACATCAAGCCAACAGGCTTGGCTCCATCGATAGAGGAGGCAATAACTTCTTCGATGCCGTTCAGCTGAGCTTCGTCTGCATCGACCATGACGAAACGAGGGGCTAGATCATGCCCGGTCACGGATCGAAATACTCGCTTCAGCGCCGACAAAGCTTCAACGTATTGAACCTTTGTCCGCTGCGACGAGATGAACACGGCCAGGAGATGAAACGTTCTCATGCAGTCAGATATTCCGACAACGATGACAGGGTAGTTGACCTGATTGAGCTTGAATGTAGCATCAACGTGTAGCACATAAGCTGCCGGATCTTGATCACATCGCTGCAGCAATTTCTTAGACGACAGCCCCACAACAAACGAATCCATGTCGGTGCCAGTACCTACAACCGGACGGCCATCACCATCCGTTTTCCATGTGAAAGTAAAGCCTTCATTCAATTCTTCTTGGCCCGTGAAGCCCCTCTTGCGCACGAAGTTCGAGACATCATCCCAGAAGTCGCTGCCGCCTAGGTGGGCAGCGCGATAATGGTGAACAAATCGCTGCACCACTGCAAGAGATGGCAAGCTGTTCTGGCTAAGGTTGAAACGGCGGAGAAGCGCGTTTCGAATCCGGATAGGGCGTAGGTGGTGAGCCGCCATTTCCCTGGCAACCACCTTCATTGGCTCTGTCAGCCGAATACGCCTCTCAGGCTGGCGGCGACTTGCATGAGTTCCAGCCTCCCACACAGTCACGATGTCCAGCACACAACACTGCTGCGTTTTCCCTCTCCACGTGCATCGAGTGTACGGGACTTTGTTGGCGCACGCCTCGCAGGAGCAGCGTAGCAGCCGCACCCTCATGTTGTGCGGTTCTGGAACCGCACACAAAGTGCATGGATCAACATCGCTCTTCATGACAGCAGTAGCTTTAAACGTGTCGAGCAGTAGGTTGGCGTCGTTGAGGGACAGGCTTTGGGCAAGGAGCATCCAGTCTAGTCGGCGAGGCATTCTTGGTGAGCAGGCGCGTGGGGGCTTGGTTGAGGTGCTCGTAAGCTTTATAGGAACTGAGTAGAAAGACGTGGTTAGATGTGGTGAATCCTATCGTGGTTCTAGAATGATTGGCTGTGGGCACGTGGAAATTTGGGTGAAGCTGTCACTAGTTTAAGTGCAAATCTACAAGTTACGGTGCTGTTAGTATTGTTTGTATGCAATTCGTAGATTTTGGTTAGATTTGATACGTTGTCCTTCTTACTGACCGACCGCTGCTTGTGAACTACTTTGGAGACAAAAAAGGGTAGCACAACCAGGGTTTTGGGCGGTCTGGGACACCGATGCCACGCTACCAGGCAACGGTGTCTCTACAGGAGCAATCGCTATCGGTCCGACGTGACGAAGATGAGCCGAACGAGCTGCTACCGCTCCGCCACAACGAATGTAACCCGCTATCATTGAGACTATCGACGACATCGCAATCTCACGGGGGGGGGGACAGTCGCCGCTTCCTTCGGGCGCGTATCAGAGCCTTAGAGATGATGGCAACAAAAATGGGGACGGAGCCAACGATCATTTGGAGGGCGGATCCAGTCACGGTGACAGCAGCTCCGATATGGAGGACTCCGACACTGATGTCGAGCTAAACTATTACGCGCGATGAAGCAATTGCTCACTAAAATATACCAGCACGATTCGCTTTAAACGCAAGCAAGCATCATGACGTTGCTCGATCAGCTTCGAGATGCGGTGGATCAATCGTGTGATGTGAACACTCAGCTGCTTACGTATTTGAAGGGCCAAATGTCTACGAATTTAAAATTTAAAATGCTGCGTAAGGATTTAATGATCGACAAGCAAGCTTATGTTTAAGAAGAAATACTAATAATTATTTATTAGTATTTCTTTAGTCCGGACAGAAATGTAGTCTGAGCTCCAAAAAAAATGACGAGTTTGCAGACAGTCGTCTCTTCTTCGATAAGGCGGGTAGCAAGAGCTGAGTCATTTCAAATGACAACAATTCGTCTAAAGTCTAAAATAGCGTTTGGCATCTTAAAGTAAATCAGTTTTGCCCTCCGAATCATGATCTTACGATTTCCAGAGAGCTGGCAGAGAAACTCCATTGCAGCATCCCGTGTCATGAAAAATAATCCATGCCGATAGAATGGGCGAACTAAATTAAAAAGTGGTGCTGCACCACACGGTTTCAGGTCAGCTGAACGTATGACCATCGGACCGATGGCATCGGTCATATCTCGATTTGCTCCGCATGACTCATCCGGTGAACTTCGTGGATCCTGTACAGTACAGTGCTCCGACACTGTTTGCTTCGCATAAAGCCCCGTCCATCTCGACGCGCTGACGTTAATCTGGCCAAGCGGATGCCAGTAGCCAGCCTTTTTCAATTTCCTTGACGGCAACCGGATCATTGTGCTGATTGGTCAGAATCTCGGTGGGTATCGCCAATCACTGGTTCAGAGACAGTCAACGCAGTGCAAAACCCGCCACCTCGCACATACCGGTACTCGCGTTCAACACTGGCGGCCAGTGACTGGCCAAGCCTTGATCCCACTTGAGTTTTGAACATTTTGCACTTTTACCAGTTTGCCATTTCGGTTTTTGCCTCGAGCCCCGCAAGTGCAGTTTTCACCGATTTTCCGCAATGTCTTGGCTCAGCGCACTGACCGGGATGCAACCGCGCCGCGTGAGTGACCGCTACGCGATGCCCAAGCCCACATGGCAACAAAAGGTGCAGCACTACGCTCCGATCTTCCGTTGGCTGCCCAACTACAGCATCCAACGCGACCTCAAGTTCGATATCGTGGCCGGTATCACTGTGGCCATGATGCTCATTCCGCAAGAAGTGTCGCTCTCCACCATCATGCACGTGCCGGCGCACCACGGTCTGTACACAGCCGCCACAGCTCCATTGGTCTACGCCATCTTCGGTTCCAGTACGGTATTATCCGTGGCCAGTGGCTCCGAGGTGTCTCTACTCGTAGGCTCGACCCTCGAGGACATTGAAGACGATGACGAACGTGTGGCCACGGGCATCTTCATGGCCTTTGTCAGTGGCTGTGTTCTGCTTCTGGTCCGTATACTGAATCTCAGTCAAATCGCCGACTTCTTCTCTCGTCCAGTCATGGGCGGCTTCATCTCGGCCGGTGGGCTGCTCATTATGCTGTCACAAGTGCCCAATGCGTTGGGTCTCAAGCTGAAATCTCAGGAATATCCACCTGCAAAAGTGGTGCAAATCTTGGAACACATTGGAGATACCAACCTGAACGCCTTCGCAGTGGCCGCAGTGTCCTGTGCCTATCTTATCGCCGTCAAGATGATCAAAAGACGCTTCTTCCCATCTCCCGTCCTTATGCAACTATTCGAGAGTGACACGCCACAGGTCAAAGAGAAAGGGAAACCAGACGAAGAGGAAAAATTTATCCAACAGCAACCGGCCAATTCCGGCCACGGATTTTCCCTTACAGACCAGCAATTCAATGCCTACCACACTCAGCACACGCCCCAGGAGGAACGTGAGTCGTTGGCGGATGCTGGTAAAGTAGAGCAGCCTCCCAGGTCCAAGGGAGTTCTCCTCGCAATCTTCCTCATGCGTACACTCTGTGACTTGGGTCCTCTCGTCGTCTGCATCTTTGGCGGCATTGTTGGCTACATTCTTGGACCTTCGCACCTGAAACTCACAGGTGAGATCCCTGGAGGCTTCCCGGAGCCAAAAGTGCCATGGTACGGCTTCACGTCACACCTTATTGACGGTGACCGCTTCGGTACTATCATGTACCATGCGTTGACGGTATCCGTAGTGGTATTTCTATCCAGTATTGCCATGTCCAAGCGTCTTGCTATCCAACGTGGCGAGGATATTAACACAGAGCAAGAATTAACCGGTATTGGCGCTGCTAGTGTCGTATGCGGATTCTTCCAAGCCATGCCCCCCACGGGCGGTATGTCTCGGACGGCCGTGAACTTGCAGAACGCACACACGCAACTAGCCTCGATCTTCACGTGTCTCATCGTGGTGCTTGCTCTGTACACACTTACGAGCACACTGTACTACTTGCCAAGTGCCACACTAGCCTCAATTATCATTGTGGCAGGTTGGACTCTGGTCGAGTTCCGTGAGGCCAAATGGCTCTACCGTGTCAAATGTGATGAGTTTTTCGTATGGGCAGCCTCGTTCGCATTGACTTTGGGTCTAGGTGTGCTCAACGGTCTCATCGCGTCGATTGTCTGTTGCGTCTTGGCACTTATGTGGAAGTCCAAGGTGCAACCTGTTGCCATTCTGGGGGAGCTGGATAATGGCAGCTTTGTCGACCGTGAAAATTTCCCCGAAGCGAACAATTTGGGTGACGTAATTGCCGTTCGTGTGGAAAGTTCGCTCTATTTTGCCAATTGCGAACGTGTGGCTCATTTCATTGAGCGAGAGATGGTGCGTCTGTCGACGCTGGGTATCACCACACGCGGAGTAGTGCTGGACACGTTCCACATGAACGACATGGACGCCACGACGATCCAGGTGTTGTCGGACACGCAGGAGAAGCTGGCGGTACGCGGAGTGCGTTTTGCCATTGCCAACGCCAAGAGCCGTTTGTATGATCTTTTGGCTGCCACGAACCTACTGAAGCGCATTCTGGCAAATGATCCGACCATTTCGGCCGAAGATGCCGTGAGTATGATGCGTGAGCTCCCACCTCCAGCTGACAAGTCGAACGCTGCAACGTCGACGGCTAGCAACCCCGTGTAATGCAAAGCAGAACACCGTGTATGTGTGTGTGAGTTTGATAAATAAAAAAATAAACCGTAGCTCAAAACATGAAGAAAAAAACGTCACAGACAAATTCATTCGCATAACGGAGCCACAAGCTCCACGCAAACTCATCGTAAAGCTGAAGACATAGTCTAGAAACTCTATTTCTACAATTTCGCTTGGCTTCATTAGGATATTTTGTGCAAATTAAAAATAGAAAGCCCATCATAATCGTCGAATAATAAAGTGCAATTGTTTTCGTCATTGTTGTAGCATGCAAGTTGCAAAAATGCAGCAAGCGCACTACTTATTTGTAATGAAAAAATAATCCCCGTCTTGCTTGGGCATCACAACTTTTTACGAAGTAATTGAGTGTCTGCGAGTCGGGTCCCCCGTCAATTTCTCCTTTACCCCGTGCATCGCTTCCTTAGCTTTCTCAACAATGGATGGCGACATCGCTTTCTCCGCAGTGTTGATCTGGTAGATCAGTACGCTGAGGTTTAAGTTGTTTCGCAGAGTTGTCTTCACGAGTTCTTCAACGGTATCTGAACTGCCTAGAATCCCACCATGGTGATGGTCCCCATGATAGTCCGCCCTCGCGTTGATGTCGTTGTCGTGCGAACCGTCAACGGCATTTTTGATGGCGCCCTTGACGCCTGTCGCGTGTCCATGCTTTTCATCGTAGTTGCGGGCCGTCGTCTTCAAGATGTCCAAAGCGTTGGATGTAGCGTTCATGTGCTTCCGGGCTGAGGCTATCTCCTTTTTGGAGCATTTGTGGCTTTTGTTGATCTTATGCGCCACGTGCTGAAGTTCCGCCGATACGTCCTTCGCGTTGCGGATATCACTCCGCAAGTACGACTTGGCCGTGCCCCGGAAGCGGTTGCCATGTCGACTATCGTACTCCGTCAGGTTCTTTTTAAGCACCTTGAGACAGTGCGCCGCGTCGTTAGCACTCTCGACCAGCACTTGCGCCAGAGAGGCGAACTCCTTCTCAGCAGCGATGCTACGGTTGTCGGGTTTACCCATGATGATATGGTCGGTTTGAGATTGTGGTGTGCTTTTATCAGCTTGTGTGCTTGGAATCACGTTGTAAAATGACCATTATGTACCCGCGCGGACAGCGTGGTGGCTTAACGAGAAATGAGAAATGCCCCCGAAATAATGGCTGCTTCAAAAGAAGACATTCCATTCTTAAAATCTTCAAGCATTCGCAAAATGCAAATAAGCTTTAGTCATAAAAATCTAAGATCACACGACAACGACCCCATTCATCAGTAATGCAGAACGTAGCCGTGGTAGATAGTTACCAACACGATGTAGCTCGATCAGCTCCGGTGACACAATATGACTCTATCTGAAGAAAATCATTAAATGCCAAACATACCGCGTTCACCAGCTCATTGTCGCGTAGTTGTCACTCTCAGCCAACATCCTTGGCAGAAGAAGCATCTAACGGTTTATAGAGACGCCCAACGGCCAGCAAATTTGTTCATACGGCTGTCATTTTTAAAAGTGGCAGCTAGTGCGGAGAGCTAATAGATTCGACCATGGGTAAAGCCATCAAACGCACCCTAGCCGTGGAACAAGAGTTCTCCAAGCTGGAGATGCTTCTACTTCAGACGGCCAACGACACAAGCAAATGCCTCAAGATCCTGAAACGGAACCTCAGCAAATACGACCGACGCCACGGACTTTTTTTCCGTAGCACGTCCAATTATTTCATGAGGAACGACATTCGAGTGGCCAAGGACACGACAACGGACTTGCGGTACGTGGCGAAACGCATCAAAAGGAGCAAGAGCCCGACCAAGTCGGAGATCAATGCCGCCCGCATCAGCATGAACGCAACAGTCGACGCCATGAACGACTTGAAACAGGCTGGCCGCATCTTTGACCAGAACAATGATGTATTAGGAGGTGTCACCGGTATCATCGAAAGTATTCTTCATCACGACGACAACGACGACAGCCAGGACGACGGTGGGATCTTCGGCGACAAAGAAAAAAATACCGATGAGAACAAGACCAAAAGAGGTTTGTTTGGCAGGAAGAAGCGTGGTGGCTTTCTCAAGGCAACCGACACGGTGGAAGGTGTCGTGAAATCGACTTTGAGCGAGAGTTTCAGCGGGTTTCCAGCTTTGAAACAGCAAATCACAGCTACAGAAAATGCACTGTCGCCATCCATCGTTACTCGTGCCAAGGACGCAATGGTGGGAGCTGCCAGTAAACTCGTTAGCTCAAGCCCTACTGCTACAGCGTGAGCATGTCAAAGCGGCTTCGAACTGCTTTTCGCTCTCACAATAGCTCGTTTCTTGCATCGAGCAGTCCGAAACATTTTTTGTTATGTTGCAAACTCGGTTAGAAGACAAGCAATATACTTGAAATGACATTTTCAACACTTAAATTTGCACTCCAAAAGTCAGCAAAGTTGCAGCTGGAGAATTTGCCATTGCCTCTCCAGTCAGAGATGCCACTGCAACTGAAACGGGAGCCATGTTAGTAGAGGCAACCGAAGTTGACGTCATACATTGACGACTGTGGTCTTTCACACGCCGCCGAATAGTTTCACACGAAATGCGCACACCGTATGCGGCCTGTAGCTGCTCTTTAATGATCCGTGCTGAGCTCCTCTCGTTATTTTTTACCGCCTGCAAGATGACTTTATCCACAATTGCGTCTGTTTTCCGTGGTCGGCCACTGCGTTTCGCAGGAAGAACCGACCCCGTACGCTGGGCCTTCTCCACAATAGCGCGCACAGTCGTGTGCGGCATGTTTAACGTCTTGCCGATACTTCGATATCCTTGACCTTGAGCATGCAGAGCGACACATTGCTCACGTTTTTCAACACTATACTCGGCACGCTTCTTACGTTTGTTTGTCGAGCGTTTTTCGCTTGATTGGGTTGATATATCAGGTACTTCTTCCGCATCCAAAGTCCTGTCAGGTGCACTTGCTTCCTGCTTAGAGCCAGCTCGAGACTGTCTTTCTCCATTAAGCAAATGCTGAAATGATACGGTATCTGACAAAGACGTGTCCAAAGCAGCTAAACGACTCTGCGACGATGGCGTCGCTGTCTCTGGAGCCACAGTACTTGTATCTATTGTTGCCCCGTTAGACATTGACTGAATCCGCAGCTTTGTGTGTTCAAGAACACGTCGTCTGACGGTCTCTGGTGACAACTTGACGCCATACACACGCAATAATTCTTCTTGGATCGATTTCGCGCTACACTGTTTGTTGGATCTAACAGCTTCCAGAATGACATTGTCAACGAGCCCACTGGTTTTGCGAGGACGTCCACTACGTGGCGCGGAGACGACGCTGCCTGTGCGCTTGGCTTTGCGAACTATAGCTCGTACAGTGTCGTGAGGAATGCCCAATTCTTTGGAGATCGTCGCATAGGACGCTCCATCCGCTTGGTGTCGACGAACACACAATGCGCGAGTCTCAACTGAGTACTCTGCACGTTTCTGTCTCTTTGGCGTAGGTTTTGCCTTTCCTTCATGTGTTGCAGGTCGCTTAGAGGACTTTTCCTTTGTTGCTAGAGCGTCATTACAGATATTGGCAGTATCTGTGGAAGAAATGTCAACAGAAATAATTGTATCGCTGGCAGGAACCGATGCAATGTCCGCGGTTTGTGTGCTGTTGCCACCGTCTACACTTGGTTTATCCGCTGGAGATGCGCCATTTGCACAGTGCGTCTCAGTCTCATCGTCAACGTTCCCGTCAGTATTGTGCTGTGTGTTTACAGTGTCCTTTTCAGCAGTTAGTAAGGTGGCCTCCGCCTCCACCACATCTGTAGCGATGGATCGCACGGTGCCTGCCAACATGTCCAAGTGATGTGCAACTTTTTCGTGGGTTTGCTTCTCTGTTGCTTGTGTCTTTTCATCCACTTGATTGTCGGTCTGATCAGCATCTTCGTCTGTATTATTTTGTCTTGGTTTCTCTTTCTCGTTATGCTCGGTTGTCTCCTCGCTCGTGCTGGCATCATTGTCTGGAATAGTATGCGTAGTAGCTGACGGTCTCTCCTCGTCCAGCAGCTTCGTGACGCGGCGCTGCACCACCTCGTACGACATATTGACATTATATGGAGTCGTAGATAGCATTTCCTGGAGCACCTTTCCGTCGCGAGTCTCGTGTGTTTCCATAAATTGGAGCAGAATATCGTCACGCAGCTGACGGTTATCAAACGATGTACGGGTTTCGGTCGGGGCTTCTATTTCCGCTTGTGGCGCAGAAGGAGGCTCGCCATGTACAGAAGAATGCCAAGAAGGCGATGGAGAAGTCGTGGCGCCAGCGACATCCACCGATTCGTCCGAAGCTGGCGACCTCATCGGTGTCTTTATTAATACCCAGTAATTGACCAATAAGACTAGCGCCAATTTCCATAAAGTGTGTGTTTATTTGAAAAATGTCCCGCATAAAAAGGATACACTAAAAATGTGCAGTGGCATCACCAGTTTAAAATTAGAAGACATGCAACATTTATTTGTACCGTTTAACTGCTTCCTTTTTCCAACGAAATGAAAACAATATCAATGCGGTGGGTGTGTTTTCCGGCCTGGTTGCCGTTTCTCTATTAATTTATATCAATCTGCAATATACTTGTACATGTATCTTCCTTGGTTTTCAAAGGGTGTTTTTACAGTACATGTTGCCTACCGTATTAGGCAACCCGCGAGATGTTGTGTCCGTGTGAATGCAGTGGCGGACGACGTGCACGTCCCTCTTCGTCTCCGGCTAGATGAGGTCTTACAGGTCCCTTCAATGACGATTGACCTCGTGCTACGGCAACTGCCGATGGCAGCCGTAATGCTGCGAGCAGGTTCATGGGCGGTTGGTTCGCTCCAGAACGAGGCTGTGTAGATGCGTTTCTTGTAGGTGTGGGCAGGCACGTGAAGTCGGGATATCGCTGTTCGATTACTGCAATGGACTTATTATGCTTGCGATCCCGCAATGTTGTCAAAGTTTTTGCCATCCCCAGCTCCAACATGGATTTGACTGTGCGCTCGCGTACTCGGCTAACAGCAAGGTAGAATTGCAGCCCGTCGAAGAGCTGATTTTGCGCCGAACTGACAGGTGCAACCTGGATGGCGTTCATCTTGTTGTCCTGTTTCTCAAACTCGTCTTCGTCCTCGCTCATCTCCTCCTCGGGGGCTTCGTTGTCGCTCCACTCGGAGCAGTTGTCTTTGTGTCTGCTGTTGGGGCTGTTTAGTAGCTCTGCATTCTTCTGATCGGCTCGCTTCTGAGTCTCAAGCATGTTTGTTTGGGTCAAGCACGGTATGTTGGAGTCGGGCTGGTTCACCATGAGCAACGGTACGCCCGTCAAGTGGTGCAGTGCGTCGAGCAGAAATTGCAGAATGGCCTCAGCGGATGTTGCGGGGCGCGTGCGTCTGGTTGTCTCCATGGGGCAGGATCCGCTGTTGTTGCTCGTGGCGACTGTCCAAGTGTCACAAGACGTTTCCGCTTCGGTTTGCGGTTTTGTCTGTGAAGAGTCGTGGAGACCAAGTTGCAATGGGCGCTTGGGCGCTTCCTGCCGGATCCGGAAATGCTTTAACAACTGGCCCCAGAGCAGTAGCGCCTATGGTCAACTCAACGACGCCATGGAATTTCTGCGAAAGGCTTGGGTTCCGAAGGTGCCGGTGCTGCCTCCGACGACTGTGGCGGAGCTGCTGGTGCCGCTTCGATATGTCGTTTCGGATAAAGTATCTTTTTGCAAAAACAGAAAAAGTGCCAGTTGCATTTTCAGATTTGCAAAACGATGCAAAACGTGGTGACAATCTGGGCCACAGTGTGGCACTACATGCAGTGGCTGTTTGAGACGCACGGCTGGAAGTTTCTGGGCGTCACGCTTCTCTTCTTTTTGGGGCGTCAACGCTACAGCAAATTCGCCGCTAGCCGGCACCACCAACGGACTCTTGCAGCCGCCAACGGTACGTCGCCGCTAGCGTTTGGGTTCAGGGCCAACAGTGACCAGCACAAGCACGACTCGCCGTCTGGCTGTCTGTCGTAGGATGATTTTCATCATGAACGGGAATTGTCCTGCCGTTTTGTTTCGTTACGTGTACTTTCGCTCATATTCACTTTGACTTAATGTCGCTTTCCTGCAGACCCGGCGCGAGTTGCAGTGCTCCAGCGAGAAACCGCACGCGTGCGTTCAAAGCAACAGGACCTCCACACCAAGATCAGCAAAGTGAAGGTGGAGAAAACAGCGTAGCGTGGCGCAAGAAACGCCGAGACGTTCTTGAAGTCCTACGAGTACCCATTTCTCCATTGTCTAGCTCGAGAACTCGATCTTTCGGCAACACCACAACCGCACGCATTGTACAACTCAGCTGCGTACCTCGGTCAGTCAGGATATGAACACGTGCGATGAAACAAACAAATTCTATTCGGTTACTGTAGTAACAACACGGGTGTTTGGTTAAAGCCTTACTGCTGTCGAGCTACTCACAAGATGCGGTGCGTGTAATGCGCCGGTAAGTCAAGTGAGTGCGTCAAGTCTGTCAAACGTGGAAAGCATCTCAGCCGCTCAATCCTCATGGCACAGCACCTTGGCAACGCCGCGGCTGCCGAACTCGCGGTGGAAATTCGTCGCAATCTTCTCATCCAGTCGGTAGTAATCCTCCACAGACTTGTGTGACTTGACGTCCAGATCCACGATGGCCACCACACAGTCGAACGCCAGATCGCGGAAGCGCACATGGTGTTCAAACTCCATTAGATGCTGGAAGCGTGGCTTTGCTTTATCCTCATCATGTCTGCCAGCATCGTCACCGGGCGAGCGCCGTAAACACAACAACAGTGAACAGTCTTTCAGAGTTGTTGCCACTTGGAATCTCTTTTCCAGTTCCTGGTACAGCTCATGGAACTGTTGCAAGTGCATCGTTTCCCACGATGCCACGTCTTGTAGCACCTCTAACTCCGGTAGATGGTTCAGTGCAATGCGTAGGAAGGCCAACCCACGTGCAAGACCTCCTTCTTGGTCGACATCCTCAATTGCAGGATAATCGGATCTTTGCCGGATCGATTCAACCAATCGCCCCACAGTGCTGTCTTCCGATGACGACGACTGGTCACGCTTTTTCTCTTCATCAAGTCTGTGCAACAGCAGCTGAAGATGACGTATACCGTCCACTGAAATGTGGTCCAGCAGCTGTATCTGCTTCAAGTCTTCGAGAATATCCAGCTCAGTCAAAACCTGTGTGATTAGCTCAACCACTTCAGGCATCAACTGCGCGTGATCTCGCTCGTGTTCGTACTCCGCATTCTCATCAAACGTCAGTTCATGCTCTGCACCAATTGACTGGCACGAATGACGGTATCCCATGCGTTTGCGTCGACAAAAGGAATACCGCGACTGCGCTGCACCTTTCGGCAGAGCATCGGCGTTCAGCCCTGTGATAACATTCACCACTTCGTCCTCAGCTGAGCGCACAAAGACTTTAAAATTGTTCTGTGGTGTTCGTTGCAAGGCTCGGAGTGCATGTCGCTTCCTCGCCGGGTCGTGTGAGAACAGATCTAATGGGCAATACTGACTGATCTCTTCCACTTTGCCAGTGCGTTTCTTGTAGTGCTGATGCATGCAGAACCGACACACGCGCCTTGGTAGGACTCACTAATGGACCTTTCGGTTTAAATCCGATCTTGGGCTTCAGTTCAACGCAGATATTGCGGAAACAGCAGTCGAACACGTTGCCTGCACGGAACGAGCTGCTTCGTGTACTCTTGAATGACCGTGACAAGCCTAAGCGTTGTAGACTAGAGGTCAATGGCTCGGTAAATGCAGTTTCTTCGTCTTCATCGTCGTCTTCTTTATCTGACGCACTGCTGACGCTTGTACTGCTGCAAACGACATAAGGTTTGCCGTCAGCTTCGATCCCGTCCGAAGAGTCTCCATCTAGGTCGTTATCTTCATCCTCATCCGTTTGGTCAACAATAGACTCTCGTCGCTTCATAAGCGAAACATGCCCTTCTTTGTCATCTGCTTCTGCCTCAGCCTCGAGTTCCAGGTAACTCCTCGTGGACTGGAAGAAACGTGGCATGTTGTCATCATCCGGTGGAGGCAGCGTCACATCTGGCAGCACCATGACGCACTGTAGCGACACATCGATCTGGCTCTGTCGTCTGTGCGCTGGTCGACTCTCCAGGGCCAGTAGTTGCGTGTTCAGTGCCTGCAAGAACCCACGCTCGACATCTACCAGCTCTGCTACCTGCAAATATGTGTTTTCTCGTCGAGTAGCGGTGCTGTGTGCGCTGTTGCCGTGCAGCTGCTGCTCCATGTATGGCATGATCTCATGTGTGGCATAGTCCAGCACCTGCCTCGGATGTGGGTAATGCGGTACGTAAGGCTTCTCGCCTGACGCACGACGCTTGGCCTTCTTCTTCTGCTTGTCGGTGGTGGACTGCGCCACGTCGCACTTCTTGACGCGTAGCAATTTGCCCTTGAACTCCTGCGCGATGGAGCTGGAAGCTGCGTCGGCCTTTGGTCGGTGACGGAACAGCACGTTGGCACCGCCCTCAGCAACATACTTCCACTCGGAAGCCACGAGACCCACGCACAGGCGGCGCCGTGACGTGTCAGGAGTGACAGGAGACGACGACGGCGGCTTGAGAAGGAACATGGCGCCAAATGGACAACGGTTCGTGGCACTGCGCCAGTTTTATAGTGAAGCGAGAAGGGCAACATGGTTTTTTGAGACAGCTCATTAGGTGTTTAGGTCTGTACCACAAAATGCAAATTGAAGTGTAAATCAGAGTGGATGGTCGGAAATCCGAGTGGTTGTGGGGGAAGATTATTTATGAGTCGCTCTATTTTTATGGAGAAATTCTCCTGAGAAATCACCATCGGTGCGCTTCGAACGAGTGGGTTGACGAACCGCAAAGGTGCCGAAGAAGGAAGGCGAACAGCGCTTTTTCGGATGCAAGTATCATGGGGGGGCGGACAAAAACTGTCTGTCTCTTCATCGCCGCGTTGGTTTGATCGCTACCGGTACAGTACCTAGATAGTGACAGCCGGCTGCGGTGAACCATTTACATGTACCAAATGTGGGTTAAACGTGGCGCCATGCACGTCTACAGGCCGCGGTCACGCTCAGGTGAATGCAGTGGTCCGCTTTGGTGTCGCATTTGTTGACGCTGCCGTCTGAGTCAGTCCCTCAAATTCTCTGCTATAGCCGCACATTCACCAGTGGTGAATCACCACATAACGGGCATTTTTGAAATACCGGTGTAAGTTTAACTGTTCTTTTATCAATTTCGGTGGCAACAGACTGACACTGCTTGTACAAGCTGCAGTATTCGGTGGCGCGACCTTTCATTCTTCGCATCTGATTCTCGACAAGCGAGAGAAAGCTCGACTACTTGACGAAGGATTATCGAGTGCTGGCTGTACGTCTGTAACTTCTGTTCATGACGACGACTTTGTTATAGTCCTACGGTTCCCTTAAATTTATTTCAGAGAAGTGAGCGATGCAGGTGCTGGAAGAGGAGAGCAAGCGAGTGCTGAAGAAGCAGCGGCTTTGTGCAGAACAGATCGACCGTCAGCTCGATGAGCTGCTGACACAAGTGGAGACCACCAAGAAGAAGCTTGAGCAACGGCAACAAGAGCTCTGTCGCAAGAAGAACCGCCACCTCGCGACCAGCTCAGCGGGCGAGGGAGAAGAAGGTGACCCGGACAGCAACGGCGATGAGACACAAACTTCAGCTTCAACTGCGTCTAACGGAGAGGAAGCAGGTTCAAAGACGCCATGCAAAATCGAAGTTGTGGAGACTAACGATGGCGACGTGGCAGTGGAGGAGCAAGATAACGAGACCGAATATATCGTCAGGGACTTTATCCGACGTGTGCGACAGCTGAACTTCGAGAAAAACGTGACTAGTGAGCTCAAGCAGATCCACGTGCTGTTGTCGAAATACTCCAAGCAGATCGACAAGGTGGGGACACGTTCGGCTATATTGTAAAGTAGCTCGATAATCTGACGGGTTGGTGATGTTTTTGAAACTGCAGAATCTTTGCACCGATATCACGAAGGTGTGTCGGACCAATGAACTAGACCAAAGCCTCGTGTGTCGGTTAGTGGCAGAGTATCTGTATCAGGATGGCCAAATCGAGGCAGCGGACTCCATGTGCAAGGTGGGTATCGGTTTGACTTACCTACGCAAGGTTAAGATTTAACATTTGTTGTGATGTAGGAGGCGGGATTGGATCTGCCACCAACGTTTCGTGACTGTTTCATCGAGCTGCATCACATCTTGAAAGCAATAAAAGAGCGTGACATGCAACCCGCGCTGGAGTACGTTGCACTCCAATTGTGATCATTGCAGAAATTCTAGCAAGCCTACAATATGATGCTGGTGTGCAACAGTTGGGCACGGAGACACCGCAACGACTTAGGACGGCTGGACATCGACATTGAGTTTGAGATTATTCGACTCAAGTATGTGGACATCCTCGAGTCGTCGCCGGATATGATGGACGCTGTTAATTTCGCCAACAAGGAGCTTCCCTATTTTCATCAGACCCACGCTGAAGGTAATTTTTGCAAAGAGATAGATAGTGCTGGTGTGGCCTGCTAACTCACCTTGACATCCTGTTATTGAGCAGAGGTGGGTGTGCTGATGAGCTGTGTGCTGTACAAGGGAAAGTTAGAGGAATCCCCGTACAAGAAACTATTTAACGACGGTCGATGGGATGAAATTTACGACGCTGTCATTCGTGCGTGTTGCTGTCTTCACCGTGTTCCGTACCGATCCTACCTGGAAACATGGTGCGCACGTCGTAAATGTCCTTTTAAATTGTATCTAACAAACGTTTTGCAGCCTGTCAGCAGGTGTGTCGGCCTTACCTGCGATGCGAAAACTTGTGTCTGTAATGAGTAGCAAGCTAGCTGACTGGGGTAATATGGACGAACTTCCGGTAAGAGCTAGGAGGCCCATGTTAATCACAGTGTAGCTCACTACCTTTTATTTTCTTCACACAGGTGGAGATTCCCATTGCGAAAGAGCTTCGGTTTCACAACGTGTTTTCCTGTCCAGTCTCTAAGGAAGAAAGTACACCAGAAAACCCTCCAATTTTGCTGAAATGCGGTCATGTCATTTGTCACTCGTGTGTCAAGCGCTTCTCCTACAACATGACCCGGTTTGTTATCCCTTGTAACTGCGTTGAAGCGTTTACTGATAGACCTGACATCTTATTGTGGATGCGAATATTGGCTACAGGCGATTCAAGTGCCCCACTTGCCCTGTGGAACAAACGGAAAGTGAAACGCGTAAGCTTTTCTTCTAAGAGTCTGGCTACTCTTGACTTTTGAGCCCCACCTGTAGCCTTGTAGCTTGTGCATGTTCCCTGACTTCATTATCTGCGCTATGTGAGTCGAAAGCGCTTCTCGAATATATCCATCTCCGTCATAGTGCGTCTTGGCTTGGGTTTCTTGGTGATAGTTGCCTTTTTGGGAACTCTGAAGCGCCCTTCGTTGGTGTAAGACCTCACACTACTCACGTGACTGTCTGGATTCCGTCTGGATATCGGTCTAGCGATTTCTTTCTGAGGAGTTCGCACCTGTTTCTTGTGACGTAGACCCTCCACTTGCTTTTTCAATCCGGCGACCTCACGCGTCATATCATGCACCTGAAGTTGCAGTGTATCCAAGTCCTTGTGCTGGTCGGACACAAGGCTTGTCATCGCGTTGATGACATTCGTGACATCCCGCTCGTATCGAGCTTGGTGCTGCTTGTTCAGATGAAGATCACGACGGACAAGCATTAAGGATTCGATCTCCTGGGACGGTTGAAGTTCCAGTAGAGACATCGGGGTGCCCGGTTGGCTTGATGTGGAGGTGTGGATGGACGATTGGGAGCACGTGACGAACTGAGGCTGTGAACACTCACCCAGAAGCCTCTGCCCACGCAACAAGTGCGTCTTCCGCGTCTGATGCATTTCCCAGCTTTTGAGTGAGAACGCTGTCGTCTGCAACGTCGAGTTGCACCTGGAAGCGAACATCTCGTTAGATAACAGCTCTTTACGGTATGATTTGGCTGTACCATTTGCAGTGAATCCAGCACCCTTTGCGGAGATCGATTCCGCCCACCGCTGTGTCCGTGATCGTCCTCCTCTCGTAGTCGTAAACCTCCATGGACCAGTGCATGGGGTCGCTGTTATCCTCGTTCATAGCCTTTAGCTTCTCCGGCACAAAGCTCTCTCCACCCTCGCTTCTTAGACCGCAAAATGCGGAATGACCCAGTGCGGAATCCAACTTCAACTTCTGAGTCAAGAGTGATGGTCTCTACTTCAACTTCGAAGTTTCACTTGCCAACCGACGCTTCACTTCACAGAATAGAAAAATGGAGGAGACACGTGAGGCTTTGACGCTGGCGCAGGTAGAGCAAGAACTACTTAGTGCAGAAGCTTACTTGACAGCAAGCCGAGCGCCGCCCCCTCCAGTAACAGCGTATGAGACCTTCGTCACTTCACAAAACGAATCTGGACTGAAGCACGGTTTGTCCTGCGAGAAAGTTGAAAGAGTTTACGGATATCGGGACTAAAAGTTTGCGTTTTCCTAGCGGAGGACTCGAATTTCCGTCGGAAATTGAAGACACGACCAGTTCTTTCGGTATTTTGCCTACGTTATTTCGGATTGACGACAACATTTGACTGAAGTATTCGTTGCAGGAAGAACGTCGACGTGAAATTCTAGCCAAATTATCATCGGAGCGCCAAAGTGCTTTGCGCGGCCATCATACTGCGACTATAATTGGAGATGGGGGAGGGCTTGGAGGAACGGAGGAGAGGGCGTACAAGTCACCCGAAGAGCGCCATGAGCTTATCCAGAAATTGCTCCGTGAACGAAACGTGGAGTTTAAAGCGGATTCTAGTACAGATTCTCGCTTTGGAGAAGCCTCCGTTTACCCAGTTGATGTTGAGCGAGGAGATGAATTGAGTGGGGAATCTCAGCATGCATTCGGAAGCCCATTAAGCACCGAGTCCGATGACAACGACGAGATTTATTATGCGTCAGATATACTAGACAACGCGACAACTGCTGACATCCAGCCACGATCGACGCTTGACTTCATATTCGAAGGGGAAGAAGCATCGAATTCAGGATATTCACCGACCATCAAGCTATCTCAAACTGAGCTGATGTCCCACAAAAACACTGAAGTATATGAACCAATATCCTCTTCACTGTTTGCAAAGCTATTGCGACAAGAAAATGAAACAGAGACACAGACAAAAGCAAATGAAGAAGGCATTTCAACCTCGCTTGGCGATCACGAGTATGCTGACGCACCATGGGAGCCAATGAATGAACATCAAGAGCAATTTGTGTCCGAAGATATTCCACATATTGAACAGCGCCTGGCAGCAACAAAGAGAGTAAAAAGTCGAATTGATTTCCTCGCGCAACCTCGGAATCACACTTTTGCAGAGCGCGAGAAACAACGATTGGTCTTTGAAATGGAGCGGCTTCGCGAGTGCACCTTTCATCCCAATGTACTGAAACCTCCTCGACCAATATCAAAAGCAAAGCGCAAAGATCAAAGTCATCCTGGAACAACTGAATTCCAGTGGCTCACTCTCAGTCCCCGCCAGAAGATCTTTAGACGGATCGATGGCTCACACGACGTCAACAAAGAAAATGGCAGTCAAAACGTTATCCAGAGGCTTCATCTGGACGGAACGGCACGCTACGAGTCACGAGAGGAAGCTCGAGAGGCACTGGAGGCTCAAAAACTCCAAGAATGTACGTTCAAACCGAAGATTAATCCGACATCCAAGTCAATGTGCAGCTCGATCGACTACAAGCCAATACACGATCGAGTTCCGGATCTCCAGCGCGCGAAGGTAATGATATACACTATCTCGCAACCTCATTCATTCTACACTAACAAGCTATCTATGTAAAAGGCTGAGTATATCGAGAGAATTCGTGAGCAACTCGACCAGGAAGAATGGGGTCCATTATCGTTTACACCTACGATCAATCCAAAAAGCAGGGAAATCGCTACGAACAAGCTAGCGGAAAGAGAGGCAGAGACTTTCAGGTCGGACACTAATGCTCTCAAAGTGACCGATCGCTTAGCAAACGATGCCGATGAAATAGCAGAGAGGAAAATAGCTACTCAAGAGTACTTCGACATGCTGAACGAGCAGCCATTTGCGCCTCAGATTAGTGAAACTTCAAGGAAAATCGTGGAGCAGAAACCTGAGTTTAAGATGGAGTTTGTAGCTCGTCAAGAGTATTTCCAGTCACGTGACCAAGAGAAGTTGGAGGCACTTGAAGAGTTCTGTGATAAGGACTACGCCCGAGGAGAGAAGCTGACGTTTAAACCGGATATTGGCAATGCAGACGGCGTATTGAAGCATTTGCGACCTGATCGGTGTACCGAAAGCAGTCAGCAAAAACTGTACCGACTCACATACAACGATCAGCGTGAAGCGGAGTTTAAGAAGCAGCGTCTACGAGAGGAGCAGTATGCCCAATACACCTTCAAACCAGAAATTAATGCCGTTTCGAAGGCACTTGGCAGGTCGTCAACTCTTGACGAGCTCTCGCACCCCGTGCTTGATATCCAACCTGACCAACCTGCCTCGAACGTTTCACCACCACACGAAGGGAGAAATGCTCGTGATTTATCATCCAGAGTTGCATTGAGGCAATATTTTGCCAACAAGCGCTTCCGTTCGCGAGTTGCGCTTGAAATGGAAGAAGCAAGCAAAGCGGAATGCACTTTTCAGCCAACGCTAATTGCATCTAAACACCACAATGGCAGTGCAAGCACAAGCAAACTGTACAACCGAGATCCACGGTCGAGAACGAAGCTGGAGTGGCAATCAGACGACCTTCTTCACCTCATTGAAGCTGAACGACAGAAGAAAGCTGATGAGATTGAGGCAAAACGGAACGCCAAGGAGCTCAAAGAGCTTGAAGAATGTACTTTCAAACCTAATCTGCAAAAGGTAAGACAGCACGGAAAGACAACAGCAAAAGGGTCACCTTCCTCGCCACGGAATACCACCGAAGATGTAAGCGTTGTTTGTTACCTTCCCTCTTGCCATTTTCATATTTCTGAAATTTTTGTTGAGACAGAAACCTGTGATTGTTCGTGGACTCGGACGTTTTCTCGAGCTTCGGGGCCGCGCTCGACAGCAACAAGCGGAACAAAAACAGCGAGAGCAAAAGGTATTTGCACCAAACGCAACCTACGAACCTCGTAGTTATACGGTACCAAAACCTTTCAAGCTTTCTGAAACCAGCAAAGAATCAATACGTCGACGACTAAAGCTGCGTCAGGAAATGCGGGCCAAAGAGCGACAAGAATGCACCTTCACACCGCAGACAATTTCATCGCAAAATCGCCGCGCTCTACAAAATTTGCTGAATAACTAACACGAAGTAAGGCGCAACTTCAAGAATTACCGATTGGCGCTAACTATTGTATTATACTTAGTTGATTGATACATCGAAGGACCAGTGTTCTTCTGTGAAGGCAGGCTTTCGACATAGCGGACAGGTGGTGCTGGTGTTGAACCAGTCGATGACGCAGTCTTCGTGGAACTGGTGCGAGCACGGGAGCTGTACCATCCTGTCCTCAGTCGTTTCCGCCTCCGCCTCCTCCTCGTCTGAGTCATAGTCGTTTAGACAGATGCAGCATGTGCGGTCCTTGCAAGCCGACGTAGTGCTCTCGACGTCTTCCAACGCCAATACAGCAGCAGTTTGACGACGATTGATCTCCTTCTGCTGCGGTGGGATGACCATGAACCCCTCCAAGACTTGCAGAATTTCACTGAGATTTGAGAAGGCGCGGGTGTTGCGTGACTGCGTGTCGTGTAGAAACACAGAGATGTCGGTGTATGCGTCCAGCATCTTACGAACGAACTGCTGCAGCTTCACGCGTCGCTCTTTGATGATAGCGACGGTGTCACAGCGCATGTGCTTACGTGGGAACGTGGGGATTTCGAGTGATGGCAGCAGCAAAGCCGCCGCTAAAGAAAACTCCTTGCACTGCAGTCGCTCGTTATCGTTGCGGAAATGCAGATCCCACCTCTCGAGGAGCTTGAGAAGCGTCTGGCGGAAGTAGAAGAACTCCGAGTAGCGCTTGATGAGCGTCCACTCGCCGGCGTCAGCAAAGCGCGCGGTGCTGCGGATCTGCAGCTTGTAGATAGTGAATTTGACGGTCTCGTAGTGCAGGACAGCAGTCAGTGTGTTCGTCTGGATCTCCATCTTGTCCATGTCGTGGTGGCGCGCCTTTAGTAAGCGGCGCGACGGACCGTCAAGCTCATCGACAGCCAACGGAGACGACGCCGCAGTCAGCGTAGGGCTGGATAGGAAGGAGGATAGAGACGGCATCGTGGCGAAGGAATGATGGTTGCTTGAGGTGGGGCCACTTGAGACGAAGGCGGCGAATCGAGAAGTGAAGGCTCGTGCGGCGGTGCAAAGGAAATATATGAGACATTAGTGGATCAACCCGTACAAACTTATGTTTTTGGTTTTATATGAAGTGTCTTTGAAATCATGAAAGTATGCAGACCTATTTGCCTCTAAATTATCTGTATACATCTGATACCTTTATTAAAGCATACGATTATCTTACACAAGTGATGATGTGCGAGAAAAAAGGAATCCAGCTTGATTTTGTAGGCAATAGTTTCGCTAAGTCAAACTGCTTAATACATAAGAACAGGAAGATTTTACTGAGTTCTGATTGGGGGTTCTTTTTCTTTAGGAAGATGAGCTATGCATGGTTGCAACGCACGAATGGAAGGTCGCCCGCCATTTACCGGTACGGAAAATTTCCGCTAGGAATCAATAATGCGGGCTACCGCTACGCGCCCTGTTGTATATACATGTACAGTACTGCTCTTCCAGTATGGATGCGACCACCTGGACGGCATTTCATGGGCTGTAGCTCTCCAAAGCAATGGGAGCTGAAGACAACGAAGACTTGGAGTCAAGGTGTTAAAACTGAGACCCCTATCGGTGTTCTACAACTGTGATTTATGCACATCTCACAGCACATGGCTTATAGGATTTCCTCGTGTCATTTACTAGCTGAAATAAGCTGACAAACGCTGAACCAACGCGAACAGTACAGTTATGGCCATGGCAGCTACTTCGACAGTAAATGCGCGGCCGACCGGTCCGCTCAAGAACATGTTGTTTAAAATGCTTAAAAGTGTATTTAAACAGAAACAAAATGACTTAGTCGATGTGGAGCATTCCCCTTTGTTTATGTAAGAAATTAACTTCAGTACGCATTATTCTGTTTTAACTGAGAGCTTTAAAAATGTCAACACGACCGTATCCGTACTGGTTGTTGGGGAAATTACGATCTTGGGTCTTGCCACATGCATATCCTGTCGGAGTAGTTAGCGTGGTGGTGACAGATCTAGATTGAAGTACATCCTTGATCTTGTCGTAGGACGTTCCCGGGTTCGCACTCAAGTAAAGAGCGATGGCACCTGCGACGTGCGGTGCAGCCATACTGGAGCCGGATTTGAAGCAGTAAGAGGCGTCGTCCGTCCAGCAAGATGACAATACCAGAGCACCTGGGGCTGCCACATCCGGTTTTCGGAGACCTCGCACTGTCGGGCCTTTGCTGCTGAAAGAGGCAAGTCCGTCGTTGATATCGGTCGCACCTACCGTGATCACACTAGCCGAATCTCCAGGCGATGCAATAGTACCGCAGTTAGGACCAGTATTCCCTGCAGCTACGACAGGAATGATCCCTGCAGCTCGCCAAGCGTTGATAACCCCATCAAACATCGTGAGACCTTGACCGCCACCCCAACTGTTGTTAACAATATTCGGTGCTTTGGAGCAGTCTTTTGATGTCCCACTGGGTGTCGTAGGGCACAACATGAACTGGAAACATGCTAGCAAATCCGACCCATAGCAACCTTGAGCACGACATCCCTTACATGCCATCCAGGTAGCTCCCGGTGCCACTCCGAAGCCGAATTGGCCCACCATAATTCCCGTAACGTGTGTACCGTGACCTGTTGAATCGTATGGGGCAAAAGCTCTAAGTTCGGGATCGAACCAGCCATAACTTTTCCGATAGGAGCTAGCCAGCGCCTCGTGAGTACCACGTACGCCTGTGTCAATAGAGCCAATAACCACACCTTGCCCCGTATTCCCTGTGGCCCAGACATCGGGAGCATTGATCTTGCTGACTCCCCATTGAGCTGCTGATGTTGAACTGGACATGGATGGCGTCGAAAGCACAGGTAAAGATGACGGGAATATCTTCTCAAACTCCACAGATTGTACGCCAGGGACCTTCTCGAGCTGCTTTATGAGGTCGGGTGTCGCCTGCTGCACGTACACTTGGTTGGTGATCCAGAAGCTCTCGGAGCGTGCGAACGACGCACTAACTTTACCCAATAGTTCGTGAACTCCACGTTGAGACTCCTTAGCCAAATTTTCAAGACCATCCTGCAACGCTGATACCCGGTGACCTCGAGAGCTGAACTTCTGGCCTTTAATCTTGGAGAACAGCTCGTTGCCAGTAGACTGCATGGTGACCAGGACATTGGCGCGTTTGTGTTGTCGCTGCTGTGCTCGATGTTTGGTGGATTGCCCAAAGTCAGCGCCACCTCTAGCAGCAGTTGTTGCGGTCATTGCCGCGTCTGCTAGTAGCCCCATCGCCACTATAGTCGTTGCTACTAACCATGAGATCCCAGTCATCGACGCTCAGAGCGACTGCTTGGACAGGAGGACCTTCCTTAGGTGGCAGCTAAAGGTGTTTTACTTCTGTCGCAAGCATTGCTGCTCGATAACGATTGACTACGCGAGGACGGGACACTATTCTTGGTACTACGCCACGCCTGGTATTGGATTTTTGGCGTCCGAACTTGTGCCATTGCGATCCGGAAACGCTTGCCAGTAGTGGCTTCACTCACTTCAGACACACGTATTTTAGGCAGACAGATGACGGCCTAAGAACCGTCGTATCATAGCTCACACGCTTTTGACAACAAAAATAGTAATGGAAGAGAAACAGACGCCGGAAAGTATCAAAAATATGACATCTTTTATACTTGAAGAAATTCGTTATGGTGCTTCACTCCGCACCGTCGAGACCAAAGTATCTACAAATAACGCACTCGTCACATCTGCCAGAATTCGTTGAAAGTCTGTGCTTCATCCATGGCAGCTTCCATCGCTGCGCGGTCGATCCTGTCTCTGATTGACCGGTATCTTGCGATTCTCGGCGTGGTGGGAATTGGAGTAGTCTTGCTTCGACGTAGTTTACTGTGGATAGTAGAGATGGGTTCTCTAGGCATTATTTCTCCTCGATTTTTATTGCTGGAGATGTTTTTTGTCGCTACACGCTGCTCTTCTTGAGCCTCATTGTGATAAATCTGCGAGTCGAAAAAGTCACGCCAACCTCGTTCATCTACACACCAAATAATTATCAGATTGACCTCACTATCATTGCAGCAGTAACAGAACCTTGTCGTACCATTAAAATCGGGGAGTTGAGCAAGCAAAAGCTCCGATCCAGACCCCGAAACGGCGCTTCCATTGGCCCCCGTTTGTCGCTTTGTCTCTCGCACTTCAGCTCGATAAGCTCCCGCTGGTTCAATCCCATCGTTTCCCAAACTCCCCCACATCCGTCGGCTAGCTCCATTAGGAGTCGTGGGAGTCGTCACTTCATGCTGGTCACTGCTCCAGCTCAGTCGGTCCTCGCTCGTCTGTGATTGAGTACGCGACCGACTGTGTTGTCTCGTCCTGTTTCTCGAACGCACATACGGCAGTAGTGAATAAACCAAAAGTGCTGCTGCTAGTGTTCCTCCAAACATTGCAGCTAATTGGCTCGCGCTAGTCGAGTCTAAAACTTGTTCTTCGACGGGACATTGGAGTTGGTCTGCAGCAACGCTAAAAGTCCCAATATCAGGTGGACACATGTCCCCTTCGTCACTGAAACTGGGGCTAGACGGTAGTACCGGAGCTTCTAAGTAGAATGGAAAAGCGGCAGCTTGTTGGGAATTTGAAGTTGGTCGGAGTGATAGGCGATATGCTGGAAATCGATATGGTAATGTGAATTTTTCTACGCGGGAGGCTTGCAAAATGACACAACCTTACCATATTGCACTCTACTGAGCTGCGAGACGATGTTGACGTCTTTTAAAGTGACAAATTCGTCTCTAACATGTTGCCAATTGTCATTAGAAGTGTCTACCACAACGTGTTCATTCCATTAGCTTTCAGATTACACACACACATTCACAGATTGGAGTCGAATCGTCACCTGCCGCACGTTTGCTCTCGAGTCGGAGATGGAGCTGCAGGGCGTCCTCGGATACCAGCACGTCGACGGCGAACGCGACGGCGCTTGTCATGGAGGTGAAGGACTGGCTCGAGGTTCACACTGAGTCTCAGAACGACGTTACGGCACCCAATGTCATTGAAGCAGAGGGTGGCACTGAAGCGAGGTATCTTCACCTGAGCACTGCTCAGTGAGCAGTGCGAATTTGCTTGAAAGTTTGACTGTCAAACTTCAAGCCCAAGAAGGCATGTTCCGACTTCGGTCGTTAGACTTGGATGCCCGTGGGATTTGCCAAAAGACTTTCTAGAGAAGTCTTGGCCACTTTTGCAGTGACGCAGGATCGGCTTCTGTGCTGTCAATAGTTAAGCTTAAATCAACCCGCCCGCCATGCAACTTGGCGTTACTAGGAAATCGCCAGCAGAGCCGGGTCTCCATGAACGCTTCCTGGCCACCATGGTGCTCACCACATGTCCAGCAGTTGTAAAGTACAGGGCTGTATTCCTATTTCTTTTTTAACTCGTTCAGCGAGACAACAATTTGTTAGAGGCCAGATTTACGTGGTCTAAAGCTGGGACGTTAGCGACGTAAAGAATCACGTATCGGAGGTGTATGCTTTCCCAGAATACAAAACGATAACTGCGGCAATCCATGTACGTGCGTATGCAGCTTCTGGTGTTCTTGGCTTCCAGCAAAGCCTTCCGTCGAACGGTCCCCCCACGTGAAGCCGCTGCTAATCATTCCACAACCAGCAGCTTGCCGCTCAAGTAACTACTTAGCCACCATGCATCACTCCCGTCAGCCCGCCCGCGCCGTCTCCGCCGGAGTGCGCGCTCGAGCTCGCAAGTACAACACAAGCACTAGCACTGCTACATGTAGTAGCAGCAACAGCTACTCGGCTGTCAATCTCGACGATTCGACCTCTGCTGAAGCTCCAATAGTCGCCGAGCAGGTGCCACTTTATGAGCCGTCGTGGCACCGCACTGGACGCAGCTCCATGGCCGCCGACGTGCGTATCCCGAGCTTCCTCATCCCGTGTTCGGCCAGCCAGCTCATGGACGCGCGCTACAAGTCGCGCAAGTTCTCGGGTGCCACGACAGCGGACACCAAGGCCATCAGTCCCGCGGCCTGAAAGCTGCTCCGTGGAAGAATCTACCTGTATGCATCCTGTGTCGTGAAGAAGTCAACGTCGAAAGCCTATTGTACACAACAACAACAATGCACATTATTGCCTAAGAAGTTACAACAAATGCAGACTATTGCCCTTTGTCCACTGAAAAAGTTGCAGTTATTGCAACTTTTGACGCTCTGATTTGCTCTTCAACTGAAGCGCAAAGTGGTCTGTAATTTTTTAAAGGTCAGATAGTTGACCATCACAGTTGAAGCCAATATCAATATTTCGAAATCACAGCACCGCATTCTTCCAAGGCCACGAGGTCCCCACTCTCCGTCGGCAGCTATCTTTGAGCGCCGCGTCCTCGCCAGTCCTGCTATTTCCGTCGTTTTTTTAAGCAGCGTTCGTACCAGTGAAAGATTGAGACCGCGCGTCACTCAAATAAATAAAGTGAAGAAACCTCGCGCATCAGCGGCAACGTGGCATTATTTTTAGCCACATCATCAACCTCCATCCAGCGCAGTCTGAGTACTGCGGAGGGCGAAGGAGGCAACACCACAGCAGTGGACAGCGACCATGGACGAGCTGCACGATGCCATCCAGGATGCGCAATATATTGGCGCTGTGACCAACACACAACGCGGGCCTAGCGCTGCCTTCTACAACCCGTCAAGCAATGAATTGACGCAGTTCGTGGACCGACAAGAGCGTGCGTTGGGCAACGACTGGCTCGGTCTCGAGAATTTGCTGGATATGCCGCTAGGTTTCTATTTCTTCCGACGGTTCTGCGAGGCGGAGCAGCATGGGAGTCAGAAATTAGACTTCCTAGTCGAAGTCACCAAGCTCCGTACACTACAGACTCCGGAGCAGCGCAGTATGAAAGCCAGGGAGATCTGGGATCTCTTCTTTGGCAACGCAGCTCCCGGAGCTACCGTAAGTACTCCAACAAGGGAAGGTGGCGTCACGGTTTGGTCACCAGGAATACGAGTAGAGTCTCGACTGCATCAAACATCTCCCATCTCGCCCGTCACGGCGTCGACGTCTCCTGGGACCGAGTATTCACCTTCAGCTGGACGAGGCACCAATTTGCATAGCCCTCCAGTAGGACGTCCCAGTCCAACACGAATGTCTCTTGGCTGTCTTGAAGAGTTAAATGTGGCGTCTATGACGACGAACGGGATTGTATTTTGGCGCAAGAACGAATCTTCAGTCACTCGAGCGGATGTACGCAGCATTTTTACTACCGTATCGACTGAAGCGAACCCTCTCGGCGTCGGAGGTGAGGTCGTGCAAAGGATAAGCGCTGTATTTAAGCGCAAACAGGCCGATTCCGACCGTGGAGACTCCATGAACTGCGTCCGAGATAGTAGTCCCACAAGCCCCACCACAAGTACCGTATCGACTAGTGAGGTCAATGACTTGGGGATGGAAAGCTCCGTATCGAAGCCGAGAAACGATAAACGCTTGAGCTCCGAGTCGAAGATCTCGACTCTGACACTCTTTGATGAACTGGAAGCCTGTGTGCTATGCAGTTTGGAACAATATCATCTCAAGGGCTTTCGCTCCTCTGCATTCCACAAGAGATTAGTCGCGTTCCTGTTCCTCCAAAAGCGACGAGTGGATGAAGATGACTTCACTGTACTCCGTGTACTGGGACGAGGAGGCTTCGGTATGGTGAATGGATGCATCAAGCGGACATCGGCGTCGTTGTATGCTATGAAAGTGATGAACAAGAAGATGATCAAGAAGAAACACGCCGAGAAGTTGTGTCTTGCGGAACGGAAGATTCTCGCGATGATTTCGTCCCCATTCGTTGTGTGTCTAAAATACTCTTTCCAGACACTTGACGAGCTTTTCTTGGTGCTAGATTTAAGAACTGGAGGCGATCTATCGTTTCATCTCAACCGCGCCAGATTCTCCGAGACTCAAGTGCGCTTCTGGGCTGCACAGATATTACTGGGGATTCAACATTTACACGAAAAGAACATTGTGTATCGAGATCTGAAACCAGAAAATATTCTGCTGGACGAAAAGGGGAATTGCAGTATCTCCGATCTTGGATTAGCTGTCGAGGTGACGCCAACGCTAACGGGAAGATGCGGAACGAGAGGATATTGGGCTCCAGAAATGCTACTTCGAGACGAGAATGGGAACCGGTTGGTGTACAATCAGACTGTGGATTGGTGGAGCTATGGGTGCTTAGTGTACGAGCTTCTGTACGGCAAATGCCCCTTCCGGACATCCAAGGCAAAAGCTCTTCATGAAGACAAGCAACAGGCATACGACAAGGCCACGTTGGAGCTTACACCAGCGTATGACCCCAAGTATTTCTCCCCCGAAGCTGCAGAGCTCATCCAACGTATGTGAAGCACTTGTGAGTCTATTGTATGGGTATTAATGTTTTATTTTATCTGTAGATCTGCTGATTCGAGACCCCACCAAGCGATTAGGAGCGAAAGGAGCCGAGGAGATTAAGCGAATGCGCTTCTTCTCTTCCATTGACTGGGCGCAGATGGAACAGATGCAGATACCGCCGCCCTTTGTGCCTGACAATGAGATCAACGCAGCGTCCCAAGCAGATATTGGCTCCTTTGACATCTCGATTGTCAAGGGAATCAAGGTGTCGGAGCAGGAACAGGCAGCGTACAGTGGATGGGATTATGTCTGTCCCGAGACGTTTCAGCGCGAGGCAGTAGAGTACCTCGAGTGGGAGGTTAAACATGGTCCGTGCACCATCGGAGTCAACAACAACTCGTGCTGCTCGATTTTATAAGCTTCCACGGGGTTACGAGTATCCAGGATAGCGTATCTGTACCAGAGGAATCGCAACAAGTATTTGCTAAACAACCGAGTTAACGTCAACTATGTCAGTACTTTGGCACGTCAACATTTTCCAGTCGATCTGACGAGGATTACCCTTCGATGATTGATGCTCTCTCCATCTCGATATATAAAATTTAACATCTCTTATCAAAGTCGACCTCGTTTCATTCTCTCCAACGATTGACCTGCAAAATCCTATGAAACAATTCTGAAACTGCAGAAACTGATCCACTGACGTTGGTTCAACCTCATTTCGCTCCTTACCTCGGCGACCGCATATACGCTCTAAGATTCGCTTCAGCATGTTCTCGAAGCCTCTACAACGCGTTGCTACGACTTCCTCTTCGGTCTTTAAGCACGCGTACGTTTATCTTTAAAAAATTGCCACTGCTTCAGGCCTTTAGGACGGTAATACGATCCAAACTCGCAGCATAACGATCTTTTGGTGTTTGTCAACACAGACGCGCACATACCCGCTCCATCGGCTTCTTGTCGACGCTACCGGAGGAGCATGCTATGCTGCGCGATATGTGTCAGCAGTATGCTGCCAAGAACCTCAAGCCTATCGCTGGGGAGCTAGACAAGGAGCATAAATATCCAGCCAAACAGGTCAAGGAGCTGGGTGAGATGGGCCTTATGGGCGTCGCCATCGACGACAAATACGGAGGCGCAGGTCTCGATTACTTGGCCTACTCCATCGCCATGGAGGAGATCAGTCGTGGCTGTGCATCCACTGGCGTCGTCATGTCCGTTAACAATGTGAGTCTGTCAAAATTGATAACATAAGAAAGGCAAGACTAACCGTGAGCATGTGTATTGCAGTCACTCTACTGCGCGCCACTGGAGAAGTTCGGCAGTGTGGAACAGAAGGAGAAACACTTGACACCGTACGCCAGCGGCGAGAAGCTGGGCTGCTTCGGTCTCAGTGAACCGGGCAACGGCAGTGACGCAGGTGCTGCTTCGACCACGGCACGCTCTACCGACAAGGGATACGTACTGAACGGCACCAAGGCGTGGATTACCAACGCTCACGACGCTGACCAAGCGATCGTGTTCGCAACAACGGACAAGTCGCTCAAGCACAAGGGGATCAGCGCCTTCCTTGTACCCACCGACGCTCCTGGTTTCTCTCTTGGTAAGAAGGAAGACAAGCTGGGAATTCGTGCGTCCAGCACGGGAAATCTCATCTTTGAAGACGTCGAGGTCCCCAAGGAGAACCTGCTTGGTAAGGAGGGAGATGGCTTCAAGATCGCTATGATCACGCTGGACTCGGGTCGTATCGGTATTGCCTCGCAGGCTCTGGGTATCGCCCAGGCCTCGTACGACTGTGCTATCGCGTACGCACAGACGCGCAAGACGTTTGGTGTGCCTATAGCCAAGAATCCGATAATTCAGACCAAGTTGTCGACGATGGCTACGGAGATTGAGGCGGCACGTCTATTAGCGTGGAAGGCTGCAGTGGAGAAGGACGCTGGAAGACCGTTCACGAAGCTGGCGGCTATGGCCAAGCTCAAGGCGTCGGAAGCGGCCACTATGTGCTCTCACCAGGCCATCCAGGTGCTCGGAGGCATGGGATACGTGTTTGAGATGCCTGCTGAGCGCCACTACCGTGACGCACGCATCACGGAGATCTACGAAGGCACATCCGAGATCATGCACTTGGTCATCGGCGGCGCACTTAACAAGGAGTTCAACGAGACCAACTAAAACTAGGAGACGTACTCAAGTCCGCAGCCATTTAAGACAAAATACATACCGATGAACTCGATCTTAGCGTGAATAGTCATGGTCGTTAGGCTGGGCCAGTACATGGAGCTCATTCGACGTAAGCCCTGCACGTTGAAGTTGACTTATCGAACGGTTTACGCGACACCATTTTTCTAACCCGTCAAAATTTATGTATCCGCTTGGTGATAAACTGCAGTCATAAAGATCAAATGCTACGAGCTAATTGTTACTTTAGTGTTTTAGTTGATGTTTTAACCTGCAATACTACATTACAATACGAAAAAGTCACATCAATTTCTGCAGGTATTCCCACTTCAGCTCTTCGATGTCATTTCGGGATTGTCCTTGTGCTACTCGAGTGCCTTCTTCTCCATGACGCAGCAAGACGTTCGCCAGGCGCTGGACGCCCCCGCATTAGCAGCCTACATCCACTCGCGACTGGGTGCATCGCACGGCGCCATCGCGTCCATCCGTCAGTTCCAGCATGGCCAGTCCAACCCGACGTACCTCTTGACAATGGCCGGCTCGAAAGCCAAGTGGGTGTTGCGTAAGAAGCCGCACGGTCAGATCCTGCCGTCAGCTCACGCCGTAGAGCGCGAATATCGTGTTCTAGAGGCTCTGGAGCACTCGGAGGTGCCCGTTCCCCGCGCTGTGTTGCTATGTGAAGACCCCAAAGTCATTGGCACACCTTTCTACCTCATGGAATACATACATGGTCGTATCTTCCAAGACCCATCGCTGCCTGGCATTAAACCTATGTATCGCTACGCCATGTACAGCTCGGCAGTAGACGCGTTGGTTAAGTTGCACGAGCTGGACTACAAGAAGATCGGACTGGCCGACTTCGGTCGCCCCGAGAAGTACTGCCACCGTGTCGTGACGCGCTGGAGTCGACAAGTCCAAAGTGGCCAGAAGGTCTTTAGTGAAGCTGGAGTGAAGGAGAACCCGAAGATGACGCAGCTGCAACGTTGGCTGGAGCAGAACGCCGACGACGCCGAGAAGGCCACGACCAGTGCCGAGGGAGCGAGTATCGTCCACGGAGACTTCCGCATTGACAACATGATCTTCCACCCGACGGAGCCTCGTGTGTTGGCCATTCTGGACTGGGAGCTGTGTACTATCGGCAATCCGTTCTCGGATGTAGCCACATTGGCGTCGGCCTACAGACTGCCACTGGACAACTCGAACACAATCATGACGCCTGGTCTCTCGGATGCTCCGTTGAAGACACTCGGCATCCCATCGGAGAGTGAATTGTTGCTAGGCTACTGTCGTCGTGCCAGACGGTTCCCTCTACCCACTCAGACGTGGCATTTTTTCATGGGGATGATCGTATACCGCTTCGCAGCCATCTGCCACGGTGTATACGCCCGCGCACTGCTCGGCAACGCGTCGTCGGCCAACGCAGCATGTGCCAAGACGACGATGGACCGACTCTTGGCCATGAGCGACGACATCATGGACGCATCGGCTGATATTTACCCGGAGCCGGAGCTGACGCACATTCTGCCGTTCCCGATCCGTCCTCATGCTCTGCAGATGTACAAGAAGCTGCTAAAGTTTTGCCAGAACCGAGTGTACCCCGCTGAGTCCGTCCACATTGCTCAGATCGCCAAGGCGAGAGAAGAAGGACGGGAGTGGCAGAGTGTGCCTCCTGTTATTGAAGAGCTCAAGACGGAAGCCAAGGCGCTGGGACTCTGGAACCTCTTCCTGCCTCAGTGTGTGGTGCCAGCTCTGGATGGCAATGGACCAGACGTCAACTACGGTGGAGACCTGACGAATCTCGAGTACGGACTCATGTGTGAGGTCATGGGACGCTCCATTGTGTTGGCTCCGGAGGTTTTCAACTGCTCAGCACCCGATACCGGCAACATGGAGATCTTGACGCGGTTCTGCACTGTGGAGCAGAAGCATCAGTGGCTTGTTCCTCTTCTTCAAGGTGAGATCCGATCGTGTTTCGCGATGACGGAGAAGCGTGTGGCTTCGTCGGATGCGACGAACATCGAGACGCGCATTGTACGCGACGAACAGCGTCAAGAATACGTCATCAATGGCCACAAGTTCTACATCTCTGGAGCTGGAGACCCACGATGCAAGATCATTGTGCTCATGGGCAAGCACACGGAACGAGCCAAGGAGAGTCCATTCAAGCAGCAGTCGATGATCCTCGTGCCTATGGACACACCCGGCGTGCAGGTCGTGAAGCCCATGCATGTCTTTGGCTACGACGACGCACCGCACGGACACATGGAGATGCTGTTCAAGGACGTGCGTGTGCCGTTCAGCAACGTGTTGCTCGGTGAAGGTCGCGGCTTTGAGATCGCTCAGGCTCGTCTTGGACCTGGCCGTATCCACCACTGTATGCGAGCCATCGGAGCTGCTGAGCGTTGTCTTGAGCTGATGGTGCAGCGAGCCAAGACACGCACAGCGTTCAAGCAGCTCCTGGCCGAGAATCCGCTCGTGTGTTCGCAGATTGCCAAGTCGCGTTGTGAATTGGACAGCGCGCGCTTGTTGACGCTCCAGGCTGCACATCAGATGGACAAGCACGGCAACAAGGTGGCGCAACAGGCCATCGCTATGATCAAGATCGTGGCGCCTAACATGGCACTGGACGTCTGCGACCGAGCCATCCAGATCCACGGCGCTTCTGGCGTGAGTCAGGACTTTGTCCTGTCTTACTTGTACGCCGCCCTGCGCACGCTACGTATCGCCGACGGACCGGATGAAGTGCACATGCGGACCATCGCAAAACTCGAGCTGAGCCACTCGAAGTTGTAAGAGAAATGTAAGGCAAAAGCAAGCGTGAACGACATTCATTTCTTAATGAGCTATCGTCATTTTGCGCTTGTAGATGGCGTAGTCGGCGTATTTCACGTATTGTGGCGTGAGGATGGGGAGGTAGAACGATCGGTACGGCGATTTTGATCGTTCAGCATCAAGGAACGGTTCCGAATGTACCAGTTCCCAAGTTTCGGGCTCTTCCCAAAACTTGAGTTCCTGTTGTCCGGGTAGATTCAAGTCCACTACGTAGTCGCAAGTTTCAAGTGGTACGTAGCGACTTGGTTCCTCTCGATTCTGATTATTCATCGCACTAGGGATGATCGACGTGCCGTTCTCATGTTGCTCGAAAGCCTTTGGTAGTAAACCCGAGAAAGACGACTTGACGAACTCTACTTTGGTAGAGTTAGACGGGATGAAGAAGCTGGTTGGGAAACGATACCATTCCTTCAACAGACACAGCGTTACAATAGGTGTAGCAGCATTAGGAGCAGTAAGTAGCATGCCACTCTCGGGATTCGGTAGTATCGTGGTATACAAATGCTGGTATACACGAAGTGGAGCGCTGAAGTTGACGACGTTACTGACAATGCGAGAAACGGAGAGTAGGGCGTAGACTCCCAGAGTCCCCACTACCAGCATCTTCGTAAGGCCACTACCCACTGCAGGTGCATGGCTGAAGAAGCGTTTGATACGATACACCACTGCACTTAGTGTAACAGCAGCTGCTAGACAGAAGAGTGGGTACACTGGAGACAAGAAGCGCTCTTCCTTGTGTGCTTGAGTGAACATGATGCCCACCCATACGTACATCGGGGACAAGTACGCTAGCAACTGCATCTTGGTCGTTTCATAGTGACCAGGTAGGGCGTATACGAACAACGCCGCTGGTATAGCCAGTAGAGCTACGATATTGATGTTCAACGCCAGATTCAGCAGATAGTAGCTCAGTGGCTCCGTGCCGTATAGTGTAGAGTCGGTCTCGTTGCTCAGGACGTTGTATACCACAATATTCCACGCTGGTAGTACCCATCGTTGGTAGTAGTGGAAGTTGACTAGCAATTCTACAGCTAGCACGGCTCCTCCGATAGAAACACCGGCCAGGATACTCTTGAGAAGCCCTCGAGTGTAGAGTGTTTCGACTGCAAACGGGATGAAGAGTACACCGACGTAGGGCCAGCCACAAAGTACAGCCACGATCCCCCAGAAGAGAGCTAAGTAGTGATTCTTGTCCATCCACGCACTACTGAAGAGCATGACTAGTACCATTGTGAAGGTACTGGGTAGGAAGGCCGTGCTGGCATGGAAAATGCCCGCGTTGAAGAGTAGAGCACACAGGAGATACCGCGCGGTGCGACAACCGAAGCGACGACTAGTAGAGTGGTAGAACAGCGCCTCTGCGTAGGCTGATAGAAGGCCCAATGCGGCGCGTAGACCGTAGAACAGTAGAAGCTTCTGGTCTGCCAGTAGTCCAAGAGTAGAACCGAAGGCTGTAAGCTTCACCACGATGTAGTGTAACAGCAGGTAGAAGTAGGAGCGAAGAGCGTAGACTGGAGAATACTCCCACGTCTGAAAACCGAAGCGGTAGAGCAGGTAGTGCAGAGGTTCCCAGTAGTTGAATGTCTCGTCACAGTCCGCGATGGGGCTCAGTAAAGCAGACGCAGCGCGCGGGAGAATAAGCAGAGACAGCGCTGTCTCTAGTGATGGACGCCAAAGTTGTCGCTCGTCCAGCTGCTCGTGATGTTTCTCCGCAGCGACGACAGCCGAGGCCTTGACGTCCGACTTGGTGACACGTCGAGCAGGCATCGTGTTTGATAGTCCTTCGTGAAGTGATGAAAAACAAACTCTATGGTGTGGAAAAACACAATAATTCAAGGGATAAACATTTTTTCCTTAAGAGTAATTACATGTAGCCGTTTCTCCTACGTAGTACTTGAAGTAAAAAACAGCCTGTTTTAAGGTAAATCCGTACAGAACGGGATTATTCTTTCAGCGGAAAAAAGGCAAAACCACAAAAAAAGGTGTCGGTTTACTATCCAATTATCAGGTCAGTTCTAAGCAAAGACAATAAAAGTTGCCAGTGCTGACTGGCAAACAAAAGAAAAGAAAAAGAGCTAGCTCGAGACTTGCTAAAGTTAAACCTACTCCGTGACGATGTAGTGCGTGCCCACCGACAGAGGGCTGTTCAGAGCCGCAAGAGCGATCTCTTTCGCTGTCCGAACAGCATTGCGAAGACCTGCAGTCTCGCGAGTGACACGACACTCCTGATGCAGTTTGTCAGCCTTGACTTCCAGCAACGCGAGTTTATCAACCGCGCTGTCCATACCGGATGCCGTGCGAATAGGACCCACCGACTCCCACATGATGCGCTGGGTAGCCAGCATCACTTCCTCAATCTCGTTCGGATACGGATCACGGAAGCCATTCAAGTGGGCGAACGGATCTTCCTCCTTGTTCGAGTTATCCAAGTCGAACGAGTTAATACGCGCCATGTAATCGTCAGCAGAGCTGCAGCCCCACACAAGACCTTCCAGCAAGGAAGTAGAAGCCAGACGGTTCGCACCGTGGAGACCAGTGCAGCTCACTTCACCTGCAGCATACAGACCAGGGACAGACGTGCGTCCTTGCAAGTCCACTTCAACTCCACCGCAGTGATAGTGAGCAGCAGGAACCACAGGCATTGGCATCTTAGTCATGTCAATACCACGGTCCATACAGTGCTGATAGATCGTCGGGAATCGACTCTTAATCCAGTCACTGCTCTCGTGTGAGATGTCCAGATACATGCACGGTTCGTCCTGTTTCTCCATCTCAGCTAGAATGAGACGCGCAACCACATCACGTGGAGCCAATTCACCGTCTGGATGGTAGTCTTTGGCAAAGGCACGGCCACTTTTGTTGCGTAGAATAGCTCCTTCACCACGTAGGGCCTCAGTCAGCAAGAACCGACGCTCATCGGGGATGTACAAGGTGGTTGGATGGAACTGCACGTACTGCATGTTCTTGAGTTTCGCGCCGGCACGAGCAGCCAACGCGATGCCCTCACCACGAGCACCTTCTGGGTTGGAAGTGTTCTTGTACACGTCACCTACGCCACCAGTGGCGAGTAGAGTGAACGGAGCACGGTAGTGTTCTACTTTGCCCTTGGTGGACACCGTCAAGGCGCCGACACACTCACCGACGTCGTTGGTGACGAGCTCGAAGGCGCTGCGACCAGTAAGCAACACGATGTTCGGGTGGTCACGCACGGCTTGTACCATGCTAGTGGAGATAGCACGACCCGTATGGTCAGCCTTGTACAGGATACGAGCGCGGTTGTGTGACGCCTCCAGTGTGAGGGCGAGGTCGCCGTCGTCCTTGCGGGTGAATGGCACCTTGGCGACGTCCAGGAGCATCTCCTCGACACGTCCAGGTCCTTCGACGGCCAGTTTCTGGACAGCGATATCTTCACACACACCGGCACCGGCACGGTGGACGTCGGAGGACAGAAGAGCAGGCGTGTCGTCATCACTTTTGTAGATGATGCCGCCTTGGGCGTAATACGTGGCACAGTTGTTCGGGTCTTCAGCGGCGGCGAGCATCGTCACCTTGATGCCTTGGTTGGCTAGACGCAAAGCCGCGGCATTGCCAGCCACTCCACAGCCGAGGATCAGAGCCTTGCACTCGATCGTGTCGTACGTGGGGCTAGCCGACGACGCGCGACGAAGCAAAGTGTTGGCATTGAGATGGCGACGTGGGACGGTAGAGTTGACTTTTGGACCGCTGAAAGGCGCCGGGGAATGAGCGAGTAGTTCAAGTTGAGTCATCGTTGCACTGATGGTGGTTCTTGTTGCGCGGTAGAGCGTGAGGGAGGAAGCGCCTAGTGGCTGGCGGTGTACACGGGGTACTTTTTGTTGAAAGTCCACGAGCTCTTCACGGACATCCAATGCGGAAGGGGATGGATGAGCAGAAGACGAGGGAGGACACTAGCGCTGGACTCGGGGTTCAAGCGGAGTGTCTTGACTCGGTGTTCGACTTTGAGCGTTTCGGTGCTTGACGTGTGCACTTGATGGCAAAATGCGTAATGAGCTGATCGCGTTACCCGACGAATGGCTCTTTTCGTCCGGTAACGCGAACAGGGGGAGAGGTCCGTCCGGATATTTCACGGATTCTGGAGACTTGAAATTTGTAAGTGATCATATCAGATGGTGGCTGATGTATACATTGGTGTATACTTACTACACAGTGCATTGATGGGTCTGATTATGCGAGCAAGTACTGTATCTTCATGTTTGTATGGAGAGGGAGAAGAAGCCAGTGCAAGTTTCTTTTTGCAAAATGACTGCATGCGCAACATGAACGAAAGTGACGGCGAGGCTACATGTGCATGTATCATCGCGCTGTCATTTAAGTACTATTTGCGTGCGGGTTTGCAAGGAGACAAGTAGCGGTAAGAGCTCGAAGTCGATCGTTGTCAGACAGCGCGTGTTTCTGCGGAACTCCGCGACACTTGCTTGCAGTGACTTTGTCCAGCAACATCCATGAAAAAACTTAACGCATTACAGACAATCCCCTCGTTGGTCATAGCGTCGTGTGACCGTTTGATATTCCTGTTAAAGGGAATTCTAATCGCCATATGTACCATATAAATGGATCATAATTTACTACAGTATACACTCGCCACTGTCAAACGAGCAGTACAAAAAAGACTATCAAACCTTTAGAATCGGCTATCAAAAGCTGCTGTCAAATGGCCTATTCTTTTGCTCTCGTTTGCTACCGGTAGCCATCGTAGCAGCCACCACATTTGATCTTGCGAACGGGTTGTTGTATCAAGGGTTATCAGGGGGCCGAGTTGCTCAAGTTTCTCGTTCGTGGGGTGTTTCTGGGGTCGTCGACGGGTATAAATAATCTACGAGAAACGTTCGTTAAAGTAAAAATTGGAACCGCTACAATTGTATGGTGACCTTTTCAGCGTCCTGTACAATTGATACTCTCATAGTTAATCATTCCACAATAGGAATTCCTTCTTACAACTGAGGGGTGATAGGTACTTGTATTAGTATTGAGGGTGCATGCCAGATCTAAAATTTACTACCGAGGGGATTGTCTGAGCATGTCGTGTGTAACCCATGCCCAAAATTCCTCTGCTGTTGCATCAGCAGGCCTCTTAAAACTAGGCTTTGTGTTGCGAGAAAATACTGACTACCTAAACGAAGTTTTGACAGCCGCCTAGTTGAAACCGGAAAGTTCCATACAAACCACAAGTGTAAAAGCTAACCACCGCCTGCGTGAAGCCCCAAAGCTCTTTAAACAGCTCTGGGTGTTGTCATTGTTCTATAATTCTCTCATTTACATGTAAGTGGTTTCACAACCGCCCAGCGCCTGTTCATTGTTCCCTTCTTCTCTCATTTCACGATTTCCGCTATGGCTCCACAGAAGAAGAAAGGGAAAGCTCGTACTCCACTACTCAAGCCTCGTCCGCTGAAGCTTAAACAAGCCAAATTACCGCAGTCAGAGCCACGTCAGCGATATCTTACGTCGTACGAGACCGAACTTGGGCTCCAGCCAGTACCCACTATTAGTAACGAAGTTTTAGAAGCACAATGCAAATTTTGTACAGCCTTTGGAAGGGAAGAGAAGCCAGCTTCTTCGACCGGGCCTTTTGATGTCCTGCTAGCGAAGGCAACACGTAAGAAGCCTGCAACTAAAAAGGTTTTCCGGTCTTTGAAAGATATGACCAAGTTTGGTCAGCTGATTTTGCCTTACAAGAAAAGACTGAGAGTCCAATACGGAAGTGGGGTGATCAGCTGCATTTGGAAGCAGGTCCGTAAGTTGCGTGAAACGTACGAGCTCAACCCGGACTTCAAGGCTTATGTCGACAGGTCTTACACCAAAGGTGTAGTCGAAGCATGGCGTATTGTGAACGGTTCTGGTGAGTATTCACGTTTAGTTTCGTTTGCGCTGGGGCTGGCTTCGATTCCACCCGGTACCCATACCGTGGAAGGTGATTTCAGCTCACTTAAAGGTGTCAAAACTGCCCACCGAGGATCGCTGACCAACTATGCACTTGAAGGTCAGTTGCAGGCAAAGCAATACTTCGATCTAATTCCCCTCGCGAGCTCCATTGCAGCAGAAACTCTCATCACAAAGTGAACTTCGAAGATTCTAGGCTTTTCATACATTTCACCATCTATCCCATACTATCATCAACATTGAATACCACCCTAGTTCGTATAGTAAATAAGGCACGAAAAATCCTAGTTGAGCATCTGCTAGGTTTTTAGGTAGTACTGCCTAGTTTTGAGAGGCCTGTGCATCAGGACGTCCAGTGCCGAAGCCAGTGCTGTTTTCACTGCCAAGTTGGCAGGAGTAGGTGAAAGTCGCGACTTGCGATTTTGAGCGGAGTCGTTACTACAACTTTACATCAATTACACGATAGGTGGTTTAGAGCAACGCAGCAGCTTGCTGTGTTGTTCGGTAATTTATCGAGTTTATCTTCCCGTGAATTTAAAACCAAACAATTATACTAAAAATTTGCAAAATCTTGTGGTCGACAAAGTACGACATTGGAGAAACCTACAACGGTGATATGGCGAAGAAGGACGAGAAGATGCGAGCGTCCAGTACGGGGGCTGCGAAACAAGAGGGTGTGGCGCACGTCCAGTTGGTCGCAAACACAGGTATGACGCTTATAAGGTACGCTGTGATGGATATAAACTGATTTGATGTGTGAAGGACGTCGCTCCACCTTGAGCCCGCGTGATTACGTTGGTCTGACACGCGGCCACACGAAGGATGCCCCCGCCCCGAGGAACGCCACGAAGAGCGCCACGCAAAACGCCACGCAGGAAGAGGATGTCCCCGCCACGCAGGACGCCCCGAAGAACGCCACGCAGGAAGAGGATGTCCCCCGCCACGCAGGACGCCACGAAAACCGCCACGCAGGACGAGGATGTTCCCGCCCCAAAGAACGCCCCGAAGAGCGCCACGCAGGACGAGGATGTTCCCGCCCCGAAGAACGCCCCGAAGAGCGCCACGCAGGACGAGGATGTCCCCGCCACACAGGATACCACGGCTGAGGCTACCACACATGAAAAAGAGGTGAAACACTCCCAGAACGCTACTGCTAAGGTGGCAGCTGACTCGCCGGCCGCTATCGCTGAGAGCAACATGGAGGGCAACATGGATGGCAACACTGAGGGCGACATGGAGAGCAACATTGAGGGCAACACTAAGGGCAACATGGAGAGCAACGTTGAGGGCAATGCTAAGGATAACGCCGCCGCAGCCACCCTAGCGGACTCCAACGATACGGAAAACAAAGTATTAGATTCAGGTACGAGTCGTCTACAATGTTATTTACACTTTCTAATTTAGGATTGTCGACTGCAGATGACCGAGATCCTGAGCCTCCAACAAAGCGGGTACGAGTATCCACTGAAGGGTCGGCTAGTCGACCACATCATCTCTGGCGTCGCCAAACCAAAAACGCGGATAACCGCAAGAAGATTGTGAAAACGCTAAACCCAGTCATCAACGACAAGCCAGGGCTACCGCAAAAGGTCTTCAGCACGCGGGAGGAGTATCAGAAAGTGCTCAAAGATTACGAAGTCGAGCACTTCCTTTGCTATCGAACTCGGAGCTCTGAGACAAGAGAGAAGCACAACAGGTGAAGGCACGATACCGATATTGACGTTTATGTTGCTGTCTCACTATGTCGTTTGCTGCTATGTTGCTTAGAGTGTTGCTTAGGCTTCCTGGTGCTAAGAAGATACCTGATTATTTGACCCACAGCTTCAAACGAGTTTGGTGTACGCATGCTGCAACTCAGGCCCCCCCGAGGGCGTGGGCGCCGTGAACACGACTGCCGCTTTACAGGATGTGAAGCGAGCTTCGTTGTGCGTTCCGTCTACTCAGTTGAGGCCGGTAAACCCTCGTGGAAAGTGTGTATTGATGAAGACACAGAGGTGCGTAAGATGCTGTTTTTACGCATATTTGTAGTTCTAACTATTTAATGTTTTAGATATCGATGCACAACCACCCCACTACGAAGGTGATCTACGATTCGTATCGTAGTGCGAAGTCATTTTTGTCGCGCAAAGTTCGACAAGAACTCGGTCTACTCAACGAGATGAAGCCCAGTACTGCTGCTGTCAACCGGTATCTGGCGGACAAGCTAGGTGGGTCCTTTTCGTAATGGAGGGTGACCGCAGTAAACCTTAAGAATCGCTGTACATTCAAAGTTTTAATCAAGCTTAACAGCATTTTGTTTACGAGCAGATATTACTATTACACCTCAGCAAACACGTAATATGCTACGCATGCTATTGGGATCATCAGCGTTGGAACGAACCAAGTCTCTTTTGGGTGCTTTTGTCGCGGAAGAAGGAAATGATGTTCTCCTGGTGCAAGACCAAATGGATATAACCTGTGTCATTGCATTGCAAACCTCCATTCAGAAGGAGTGTTTTCGTCAGTGGGGTGACACACTGGTGATGGACTGGACGCACGGGACTAATAACCTCGGATATCATTTGGGTAAGTTGCATCGTATTTAATTGTCAGATCATACACATACTAACTTGTTTGCTTTTTTAGGAAGTCTTGTGATCACGTCGGCAACAGGACGGGGCATACCTGTAATCGACTTTCTTGCGCTAGACCAAAAAGCACAAACAATGGACCGTATCGTTGAATTCTTCAAAATGAAGAACATGTCCTGGAATTTAATCCAGACTATCGTTATCGACAAAGATTTCGTGGAGTGGCGGGTCCTGGAAAGAGCATTTCCCGGCACCAAGGTTATTCTGTGCCAATTCCACGCGCTCACGTACTGGAGAAAAGTGCTTCGTCGTCCCAAGTTTGACCTGACAATGTCACAGCGCAACAGGATGGAGGACGCGTTTGCAAAGCTAATCTACTGGTACGATTCTGTGTGTTGCTTCATGTGTTGATTATGAAATGTTGCCTAATATGTTGCTTTGTTGTGTTGCTAAATATGTTGTGCGAAATGTAGCAACACGCAGATAGCGTTCAATTCAGAGTTGGCAGCATTCACAAGAACGTGCGAGGAGAAGTGCCCTAAGCTACTTGCTTATTTTTTGCGAAATTGGAAAACGTGCGATTCGATGTGGGCAAATTACCTCCGTGGGGCGTACTTTTCTGCAGGCAATACCACCACCAATCGAATTGAGTCCAGCTGGAATCAGGTGAAGCTGCTCCTCGGTAAAAGGCCCCGTATTGATGCGACGATTGGAGGGCCTCTAGCTCACCAAACGACAGTTATTCGACAGCTACTTGCTTCAATTCGCAAGCACTCCGTGACCTCGCGGCAACCTGACTCTGTCCCAGACTTCCTTTTAGTTGTGGCAAAGCACCTGAGCGATGCTTCGTTTACAAAAGTGCGCACTCAGTGGGAGCACTTCATGGTATATCTGGCGGAAGCTACGTGCAAGAAAGAAAACGTGGAAGTGGGAGAGTGGATGTTGTCTACGCAGGGGCGCACATATCGCTGCAATGACTATCAGTGGACGTGTACATGCCTATTCTATCGAAGTAATCACCTCCCGTGTCAACACTTGATGTACATTGCTGACCGCGTTCACCGGTTCGAGTATCTCCCGGCATTGACGATTTCTCCACGCTGGGACATGCTGGAAATGGCGGCAATGGAAAAGGCGTTTCAAGCGGGTATCTATTCCCTCCAGGACGTTTAAATTTCGATGAAAGTAGCCAGCGATGCCTTCGACGCGGTCCAGCCGCAGGATTCTGCATCAACTTTATCAGCAACACAACCGAGTAGTGCAACACAGGACGCTACACAACCGAGTGGTGCAACACACGAAGCAACACAAGTGAAAGGAGAGCTAGGAGATACCAAAACGACAAGACTGCGCGTTAAATCGAAGCGCCGAATCATCTACGTGAAGTTGCGTCGCCGCGAGCGAGCAAATGTTGTTGTTATGTCAACCGAGGAGAAGTACTGCTATGCAAAAGCAGTATTCGAGCCCGTGATGGAGCGTCATTAGGTCTGTCGAGTCCTGCTTTCTGCACAGCATTGCATGCCTGGAAGGAACTGGTTCAACGTGAGCTACGTGAAGGTGTTGGAGCTGGATCGGTATCAGATACAACGACTTTGCCGGAAGAGGACGACGAAACCGACAATTCTTATTTATCAGATGCCGCATCGGAAACTGAGCCCACAGAACTTATTGATACTATGGATTTTATCCGGCAGATGAAATCGCCAAATTCACCCAAGACGGGGGATGGAGCCATACACAAATTTACGATGACAAAAGGACCAGCACCGAGTGCAACACAAACATTGAAGGTCCAAGTAGCGTTACCGTCGGCCGACCACCAAACCGATACGCGTCTCGAAGCTCACAATGAGCCAATACAAGCGGCTGCGCATGCACCCAGGAAGTGCAGTGAAGCGAAAGCCACCGCTAACTGCGGACTCGAAGTTCTTCGTATCCCCTCACCCCAAGCCTCGACACAATAAGAGATAGAAGCTGACACAGCGCAAATTAGTAAAGCACGAACGGGCCCAGAAACTGGCTGCTATTGCGCTTCCGGACAAAAACATACCGTCACTTTCGCGACTATTGGAATGGGCGAACCACACGACTGACCCGTATCACGTGAGCGAGATACTCGGAAACTACCCTGTGATCATGGATGACGATTTCATGAGCGCCCGAACTCCTCGCAGCTGTCGTGAATTAGTTTGTACGGCTGACTATGACTACAATTTCGTGATTCCTCAGAACCTTGTCATTAAATTGAACGCTGTGGTTGCTGTCGAAAAGAAGAAACGTCAAGGATCAAAGTACTTCAATGAGCATCAAGTTGTCGAACATCCGGAGGGGTCCACGAACGAAGTCTTAGCTTTCTTTCCTGGTGGTACCCCGCGCTTTACTAGGTTTGTGCTTTTCATGTGCTGTTTCATGTGCTGCGGGAGCTCTGTGTTGCTTGATGTGTTGCTCACGGGGTGTGTTGCTTTCTGTGTTGCTACTAGTGGTGGGGTCTTCAGAATGGTTGAGTACTTCAGTCCTGTCAAGAAGTTCAATTCATGAATGGCAGATGTGAAGTGGCTGTTATCGACAAAGTGGAAAAAGATCCTCGCACACCCGGAGATATTCGACGAGGAGACCGGAACTGCTGCTCCAATGCCTGACGCTGTTCCAGTGAGACATCAACAACTGGCGGACGACATCGTGCGTGTGCTGGAAAGCGCTTGTCTAAGCTCAATCTTTCGGCTTGATTGTGGCGAGGGAACCGTCATGGTGGAGAAAATGGTTGGCATGATTGCCCGAGATCGTATGCTGAGTGATACGATTATCGAATTTGGAATTCGATGCATTTGCGAATCGATTGGTAGCTGCTATGCTTTGGACTCATTCGCACCGTCATTGGGCTGTCCGAGGCCACCAGAAATCTCTTTTGATAGCTGCAAGTACGTTGTGTTGCCTGTCCATTTGAGCGACATACACTGGGGTGTGATTATTGTCAGTATTTCATACCGGACGGCGATGGCGACAGTCACACCGTATTTCTACGAACCATTGTGCTCTACGTCATACAACGACACTCTTGAGCACACCTACGAGGCAGTAGTGGCCGAGTTTTTAAGGGTTTGGCACGATTCCACCATGCTGGGAGAGCCATATCCAATCGTTGAGGAGACCGTGTGGCTTTCCGGACTGAAGCAGCCCGACGGAACTTCTTGCGGTGTGCTAGTTCTCGCCCAAGTGTATACGATGCTTAAAAATAGCTCGCAATTTACCCGATGTGCTGTAAGCCATGACGACGTCACTATTATGCGTCTTCGCATTATGTGGATGATCTCAAGGCAACCCGAGGTAACCACGAGGAAAAACAAGGTAGCGAAGGCGGTCCACGACACAGATCTGGAATTACGGGCGACAATTAAGACGTAGCGTGTTGTGTTTCGGAAGCCAATTAATTGTAAACTTCTTACTCAATAACCCCACTCTGGTCCTCAAATTCTCAATGCTGCGTGTGGCCTAACATTGAGCTGCAACACTCCTCCAGCACAACCGAGCAAGACATGACGTACTTTGAGCTGCGAATAGGAAACCCCGTCACGGCTGCAATGCGGGTGGTTTCCTCCGTTTCGAGTGAGATCAATGTAGCTAGCTCATCGTGCGCATTTAACAGCTTCGCCGTGTACTTGGCCAGTTTTTCAAGCTTCCCTTCCATTAGTTCAATCTGCTGAAGCCGGGACTGAAGCAGCTTTTGGCAAAGCTTGGCCTGGTGAGTTTGAAGAGTCTCCGCTTCACCACGGCGAGCTGCAGCTAGCTCTAGATACCCCGAAGGCGCTGGGTGACTTGCAATAGCGCTCTTAAGAAGGTTGGCGTGGCTGATGTCGTCTTCGCTCATACTTGTCTCCTTTAAACGGCCGACTGCGAGCTACTAAGAAATTCACAATAGTCATTTATCTTTTTTAAATTACGCCACGAGCGTATTTTATTTAGCAAATGTTGCTCTCTGTGGCTCTCCTTGTGTCGATGTGGTCTGTTGCGTTGCTATAAGAGCAGTTGTCTTGTCGTTGACGAGTTGCAGTAACGCCGTCCGATTTTGAGTCTACGAATCAAGTTGCTGACCAATTTAAAACGAAAGGATAAAGGGTTTCAATTCGTCAAAACAGCTCGTTTTATCGACCAATCATGGATGCAATTACGAAAAGACGCGATCCAAAATCCAATTGTGTCACCATTTCGGTCACTATTCACAATGCGCTACTGCTGGCTGTTGCTGCATATAGCAGTGGCAACAAACGTAGGCGATGCCGATAATACTGAAGATAATGAACCAACAGTGCCAGACATAATTAGCCCACTGGACATCGACGAGACCAGTATCGCCGCGGGTATCGAGCACTCGTGCGCGATCCAGACGCAGTCGTACGAGGATGTTGGCGGTCGTGTGGTCTGTTGGGGTGTCAACAATGGCGGACAGAGCTCTCCTCCACCAGGCGAATTTATCCAAGTGAGTGGCGGACGTTTGCACTCGTGCGGAATCCGCATCGATGAGACGCTCGAGTGCTGGGGCGACGGCGCACCGGTGACGAAGCCAGAAGGACTGTTTGAACAGGTCAGCAGTGGCGACTTCCATTCGTGTGGCATCATGAAAGACCAAACAGTGCACTGCTGGGGTGCGTAATAAAAGAGAAATTGCCAGAAGGCAACTAGCTGAGAAAAATATTGTACTACTACAGGCACAGCGGCGGGTGGCATCTCGAAGGCTCCAAGTGGCAAGTTTGTGCAGGTCAGCTGCGGCAAAGACTTCTCGTGTGCAATTGCAACGGACGGCATGGTGAAATGTTGGGGCGAAAACGGATATGTACGTCACTTGAACGTTCATTGTTTACGACCTGTGGGTGCTTATCTAACGTGTCGCGTGCTTGAATGCTGTAGGGTCAGCTGAATGTGAACCCAAACACCCGTTTTCGACAGATATCAGCGTCGCCAGGTGATTTCGCTTGCGGTGTGACCGAGGACAACACGCTCTCGTGCTGGGGTGATAATCATCGCAACCAAGCGAGTCCACCGAGCGACGAAAAGTTCATTCTTGTGAGCACCAGTCGACTTTCGGCGTGCGGGTTAAAGGTACGAACAGGGATTGAATGCTACATGTGTACAGTACTTGCTTACCGTAGTGACTATTGTTTGATCGCACTGCAGACCGACAAAACGGTGACGTGTTGGGGTATGCGCTCTGGCGTGACTGCAGCACCTACAGATGTGCAATTTGACGAGCTGACGTTGGGTTGGAATCATGGTTGCGGCATTCGCTTCGAAGATGGCGGCGTCCAGTGCTGGGGCGACCGTGGAAGCAACCGCTTGGAAATTCCTGAATCTCTACTATAAAGGTATTACCAAGGTTGAAAATTATACTTTGCGCATTTGGTTCCAGGTTTGAATCGAATCGTAATTCAGTTTAGGAAATCGGCTTGATAAAATATAAAATAAGTACAAAATGATTAAATCGGCAGAACAGCCATGATTCCATTTCGAGGGTATCGTAGCGATAATCGTTGGAAGCAGGTACAGCAGTGGTTAGGAGTTGAAAATCGAGTCGTTTGAAAGTTTTCAACGATAAGAACATATTTCGAAGCACCTACTATGAAACGCAAAATTTTGTTTCCAACTTGCAAGTTGCAACTTGCAACCTAAGGCTCAGTTGATCTTGCGTGATGATGATACATGTGATAAGTGGACCGAGAATTGGCATCTTAAATGGCGGCTTATTCTGCCGCGACCATGTCGCCTCCTGCTTGAATCTCGAACACCTGCTCGAGGTCGATCTTTTCAACTGCATCCAGCCGTGCAAGCTCCATCACCAGCTCTCCACATGCATCCATGACAGCCACCGAGTTGCTGATCCACAAAAACGTGGAAGAGCTGAAGAGATCGCTGTTCCGATCCAGCAGATTCTTCACTGGCTGTTGCGTCTGCTCAGCAAAGTTTTGCATGGTTTCCGCCACACACGAAGCTCGCTGAGAGCGACCCCCGGCAGATAAGGCTGAGCGGTCGCAGCTGTCCTGCAGCGCTTGCGAAGGCGATGCTAGCTGCACCAGGATGTCCACACGCGCTTCATAATCGCTTTGAACCGCACGAAGCAGATCCTCAGACACTTTTATCTCCTCGGCGGCAGACAGTGACTGCATCGCGGTCCACGCGGCGATCAGAAGGAAAAACATCGAAGTTGCAGTTGCCATGATGAGTGGTCGCAGAATGACGGTCACCAAGGATAACTTCCTCTACAAAAGCATAATGAGATCTATCAGTTTAAAGAGTGTAATCAGAAGACGTGTAAACATCGTGTTGCTTCAACGTTAACGTTATTCTTATGATGGCATGCAGTCGTTGGCAAAAACGCTGTCAAGCAGGACTTGCGGCGTCTGCACCAGGTCGTAGAGATAATTTTCTTCGCACTGCAGTGTGAGCTGCGGGAGATCGTCGATCAATTGTTGCTTCAAAGCTTGGGCGGATTGGATGCCACAATCACCTGGATCGACAGCTCGAAGGCATTGCAGGGAGCAGCCAGCCAGCCGCGACTTGACTGCTTTTGTGTATACTGGACGCACCAGGAACCCTTGGCACTCGGTGGTCGATGTCTCAGGCGCGTGATACTGGCTGAACTGGCGGAGTTCTTTGCGAGCCACGCAGACTTGCAGTCCGCCATCCAGATAACACTCCAGCCAGACCTGGTCGCGACTGCGACGACGGCTACCGTACAGTTTCTTAGAGGACCGAACTACCCGGGCGATCTTGTTGACAGTGTACAACACTTCTCCCGTCTCTTCATTGGGCAACCCACCAGAGGTTTCTGTGCTCGATCGCCAGATCTGGCGGGCAAGCGGCCGCATCCTCAGCGAGTCGAGCGCCTTAGCACTCTTCCACACAACACGACGAGCTAATTGCTCGTCCTCTTCTTCCTGACAGAGCAGGTGACGCCACCCAAACACTTGCCGCACTTTGCAGCGTCGTCGAAGGTGATTGCGACTAGCGCTGCCGTTAAGGTGACGCAGCTCACTAGGAATCGAATGCATAGCATGCAACACCCGTAGCGTGTCACGGCTAGAGAGGTCAGGTAACGCAAATTGCAAGGATCTTGGAGAGCCCACCGAGGCTCTGTCCGACTGGTCCTTGTCCCAAGTGACAAATTGGTAGCTGCAGTCCACTGCAACCCGTTGGCGCTTCAAGCAACGACGTGGTGAAATCATAAAGCTAGCCCAACGCTTGAGTGACGGTCGCTGCGAATTCAGCACCATGGAGTCCTGGATACACTTGCGCTTAGTGTTTGAGTGCCAGGAGCTTTGGTCGGCGCTGTCTTGAAGTGAAAACACGGGGCATGTCGTCAACGCGAGCCTGCAGTTAAGAACATTTGATGCTGTTAGAAAAGAGAGTTATCTTGCAAAGATTAATGAGACCAATCACGTACGTAGTGGGGGGCTGCATTTTGCGGCTCCAAGATTGTGGCGCCAACTCGGGCGATGCCTCGTGCTGGATGGCATCATGGCGATCGATGGGCTGGAAAACGACTCCCATGGCAGAGATAAGATCGGAAAATGGCTGCAGCAAGCGGTGGCTGGCTGGTGATGACTTCACTTGCAGCTGGTTCTGAAAACTGAGGTTGTGGCTCAGCAGCAGAATTACGAAGTGGGTTGGTTGTTGGCGATGGCGCGAGCTTTGAATCAAAGTTTGATGTGGAGGAAAGGCGCAGGTTCATAACCGGGATGGTGCGGGACGATGCTCATTTTCCCAACGTCCCACTGTTTCCATAGAAAGGATACAATCTCGCCATCGCATTCCCCGTTGAAACGGATTGGACCTGTTTCGAAAGATACGAGGGTTTGTAAGAGACGTCTCTGGGTGAATCGTACTAATACATGGTGCTTTTTCACACCAACTCATTTTTTACCGAGATAATTTTAGTCGAGTAGAAAAAACTACATGCATTATTACTCTTGATTGGCAAAGGCTCTATGGTTCTGAAGTCTTGACCTGGCTCGTGGTGTACACGTACTGATATTCTGAGTGGGGAATTTTCAATAATATATCCATGTAATAACGACTCGTCGTAGAACACAGCACACCTGGCAATTTGCAAGTGGCTGGCGCTCGCTCGATCGCGGTTCGAGCCTGATTATCATTCCCTCGACTCAGATGTGCTCAATTTGGCCCTAGCGCTTGGCTAACGGCACAATCCGGACCGCAACTGCTACATGTACGACACGAATCCAATCTTCACGGCACTTCGCAGCTGCTTTCTCTACATGTACAGTGTATTAATACTACTTGGAAGTTCCGCTGTTCCAAGTTGGAACACCTTCGAGACCAAAATATGAATAGCGTTACAGTACCGGTAACCAAGACTCCTTCAAGCGTATGAGCTACCGTTGGGCTTAGTGCCGACTGGGTCAACAGGCCTGCAGTTATATTGCCGCGTCGCTGTGATCGGATGAGTTCGTCGGCTATCGGCCATCTCCTACTGCGGTTTTTCGTTTTATACCGGCTACTGGCAGCCGTATTGTCATGCACTGAAGCAGCACAGCGACGCACTGACATCTCGCCAGCTGGCAGCTCTTGAAGAGCTGCTGGCTCACTTCGAGGAATTTCTTTGGGTGACAATGTCATCAGGCCTTCCGAATTAGTACTACTGTACATGTACTATACGAGTACTACATGTAGTACATGTAGTAGAGTATTAGACCACAGGCTAAAAAAGTAATTTTTTCGTCAGTTATGTGCATGTACCTTATATAGCAGTATTTGCTCACGACACAACGCTATCTGGCGCAAACAATACAGTTTCAAATTTAAAACACCTTAACTACTCTAAGATGGCGATATTTTCGCCTTCGACTCTATCACTTTTAATATAAATAGGCTGCAGCTGTAATATTCAAGTATACATAACAGCGTGGTATCATTTTTAAAAAATATGTATCTGAAGCTAGTGCGACATCGTTTAATCTATAACATATCTGGTTTTCGCGAAATCCTGGCCATTTAATTTGAGAAAAAAATCAAAGCACAGAGAGGAAGTTCAGATTCACTTGTCAATTACCAAGATGCCCAGTACAGCCAGCCAAGTGTTCGACCGCCTCAACCGACAGTGGGAGAACGAGACCTCCAACCTCGTTGTTAGCCACGAGAACTATGGCGATGTCGCTCGCCATATAGAGGAAGAAGCCTCCGATTCTGGCTCACCTATTCTGTCTATGTATATTGCGGCAGGTGGTGATAGTGCGCTAAAGGGCATGACCAACCTCTCTGCGTCCGAGCTGGATGCGCTTTGGGCTCTTGTGGAATCTGCGGTGACGATTACATGAGCGCAAGGTCGTGGGCGTAAACCGTCTGTGTCGGGGAAGGACGCAATGTTCATTACCCTGACCGTGCTGAAGCATTTTGACACATGGCAGAAGCACGCGATCGATTTCAACATCGGGATTTCGACGCTGGAGAAAATGTTTTACCGTGCCATTCAGACAATTGAGCCCGTGATTAACTCGTAGATGGTCAAGCGCGTACGGATGTCTGAGCAGATGGAAGCTGGAAACACCTTTACGAACTATCCACATGCTCTCTACGCTACTGACGTCAAGTTCCAGCCAGCATATCGGCCTAGTGGTCTCTTTGCAGAACAGAAGGTCTACTTGTCTCGCTAAGTACAAGCTGTATGGGCTCAAGATTGAGTGCTCTGTGACACCACCAGGTCTCACTGTTGATGTTTCAGATCATTCTCCTGGATCAACGCCGGATCTGACGATGATGCTCGACAGGCTCACGATTCATCGTCAGATGCTGCGCAAGGAGGACGGGACAACTGCTGAAATTAGAGCTAAACCAGCGCAGTTTCCACATATGTGGGCCGTGCTAGTAGACAAGGGCTACCAGCGTGCCGGGCGGGTGCTTCGAGCGATCCAGCCAAAGAAATACCCGCGCGGAGGCACTCTTGACCGTGACGATATTTGTCGCAACCGTGCAATTTCTTCGGATCGCGTCCTGGTTGAGAATTATTTTGGCCGGATGTGTATGCTCTGGAAAGCTACCTATGCGACCTTTAAGTGGAACGAGGAACGTTTTGATGTTGTTGCTCGGCTATGTGTGACGTTGACCAACTTCCATGTAGGTTTGATGCCTCTACGAGTTCACGACAGCGAACACTACGATACGGTGCTGTCCAAGTATCAGTCAATGGGCGAGCGTGTTCGCACCCTGCGTGCTAGAGCCCAGCGTCTATATCGGGATCAGCAACAGCACCCTGAACCATGTAGCGTTTGCTCTCGCCTATCCGCATCTCAGCGCGAGACCTAATACGAATCGGACGACTAACTAAATCATGCTTTGTAAGGCACCTTTTTCCGGTCGTATTCTGCTTGCTCCTAGCTCCCTAAGACTAAAGACATTCAATAGATTACTGTTTGCTATAACCCTACGCTTGATTTTCCAACTTGTCGTCAAAATGGATGTTATCAGGCTCCGTGCAGCTATATAGGATTAGGCAGCAACTTCAAAGCGGTAAAAAAAACACCACGCGCCGTCTTAAACTCCACAATGCACTACAGGGGTATGCGTGTGACGCTCACAGTACTTCGGCCCGTCACCCCCTTGGCCGATTGATGGCAAGTTGGAAAGTGAGGAAGATGAAGTGTCTAGCTACTGTATTTGCACCTGTAGAGTCTGTATAGGCAGAACCCAGGTGTCGTTGAAATAGACTGACTCTCGGGTAGAAGCCTCTATAATTAAATGTTTGGGCCACAAATGTAGCCAACTGTTTTTCATAGGATCGTACTTATTCCAGAAGTAACGGCCGGAACCATGAGATGCGAATATTAAAAAAAAAACAGCAGGCAAATGCGAAAAACAAGCATGTGCTTTTCGAAGAATCATGTTTTCCGGATTAAGGCATGGAATTCGCATAAAATCAGATTTTATGTGAAATTGAGCACCATACGCTAAAACACACTTTTTGGTCGTTATCTATTGTAAACTACATGTACCTTCGTGTGGAAAATAGCGCACATTTCAAAATATAGTATTTTAAACTACGTAGTAGGAGATTTGACTTCCAAATCGCAACCGTTCCGACACCCTACCCCTTTCCGACATGTTTCCGACAGCTCGGAACAACAGGTATCCAAAAACCACATTTCTATAAAACAAACATCTCCCATTAAATCTAACATTTTAAATAAACGAATCCACAGGGGAAGGGTGGATTAGGAGGAAGGAGTGAATGGATGAAACTTTTATTTTTAAAAAGAGTGGCCTCGAGGCGATAGCGGTGGCAGCGGCTGGGTGGAGGGAGGGATGGGCCATCGGCGCCAGTGCGTCATCCGGTTGGTGGGTGAGCTAGTGCGGAGGGCGGCGGATACGATGGCGACGGTGGCACTGGTGGCGGGCGAGCGAGCGTGAAGGACAGCAGCGGCAGGGCGGCGTGCTGGTGGCAGGTGGCAGGTGAGAGCGCGGAGCGGCGACATATACGGCGGCGGGCGAGCGAGTGTGAAGGGAAGCGGCAGCAGTGAGGCGTGCTGGTGGCGTGTAATCGAGTGTAGAGTGGGTGGTCCTGGTGGGGTTGCCGGAGGACGGGGCGGCGCAGGTGTCGATGCTCAACTTGTACGTGCGCCCAGTGCACGCCTTACAGCGCGACGGTGTGGTCGGAGAACTGGGGAAGGGTCGGTTATGGGCTTGTCAATGCGTGCGATAGTGTTAGACGGCGTGCAGGTCGACAGGCAGGCGCGCGATGGTGCTAGCACGGCGAATGTGACGAAGTTGGTTGTGCCGGCGCTGGCGTCGATCGGATCGGACGTGTCTGCAGCAGGTGTACTTAGTGGCGTCGTTCAATGGTGATGATTTCACAAACGCTTGATGCGGTGCAGCGCGAGACAAGCTGGCGGAAAAGGTGCAATAGGAAACGCGCAAATTGGTTTCTCTCTATCCATTGAGGGTCATTTGGATCGTCTACTGCGTTGCCACTTACAACTTGCCAACATCCGTGCTGAGCAAGATATCCCTCGATTTGGGCATGATAGAGGTCGAAACCTCCAGCTTCCGTGTACTTCGGTGGCTTCGAGCCACACACGCGCCTCGTTCTGGCTCCACCATAAGCTCCTTGTTGTTGCGCGTTCTGTTGCTGTTGATTCTGCTGTTGACCAACTGCTGGTTGTTGCTGGCCACCTGAGCTCGTCGACATGTTGGATGTGCCCGGTGTTGGTGCTGAACAACTTCTTTGTCCTTACCACAAGCACAAAGCCTCGCCACAACT